GTGCTGTCTATTGAGCTCTGGTAGGCCTGCAGCTTTTCCTGTAATTCTCGAACTTAAAGTTTTCACCACTCTGCTGTTTGGGTTGAACCGCCGAGACATTGAACCCAAGCATTCATTATGACAATTTATCAACATTTGGAAGGTTGAGATCATCAGGTAAAGTAAAGAATTATAAAATGACATGACAATAGGGTTGTTTTGTTTAGCACACAGTGAAAACAAACACCACTCAAGGCGTGACACTGCATAGTAAATTCATAAAAACATGATGGTACAGTTCCAGTGACAGAGTTCAGATGTAAGGGATAGCCTTGATTCCTATCCCAGCCATCTGTTTCTGTTCAGACATGACTGTCTGAAGCATCCCTTTCTTTTATGTTGTTTAAATGACTCTTGGAAGATTAATGAGGGAGGATTTTGTATAATGCAATGAAATCCACATGGTAATCAAACTGACTGAAAAACATTTAAAACATTCTGCAAATAAAAATGTCTTTTTATACCAGGTAATTGGCATGTTTATTGTGTTTTCCTCCCATTCACTTATTTTCTCATAGGATGACTGAAGATGGGAAAGAGATACACAAACATAGTTTGGGAATGATTTTTTTGCATGGATGTTTCCTGCTGTATATAACTGCAGATGTTCACATAACAGAATCTGTGCGCTCTGTTGAACTTTTTGTCTGTGTAATCTGGAAACAAGCTGTCCGCTGTCTTCAGAGACATGATCCATCAATGAAGATCTATTAGTCTAAATGAGATACATCCTGGCCAATTCATAAAGAAAAATACTTTACTGATTACTGATAATGACAATTGCAGGATTGAAAATTACTTAATTTAAGTTTCATTAAACTTAAAAGCCTTTAAAATGTTGCAAATCCTGAAGTGAACCAGTTCAGGAGTTAACTGATGACAAGTATGGGAAAACTCTTGGAGTGTAAAACAGAGTCGGCTATAAACTCCCATTTCAGACAGGTGTTATCAGGGAGAGATGCTAACCCTGTGACACACCCAGGGGTAAAATGAGACCTCAAAGCATTGCTTTCAAATCTCACAACCTTGAAAACAGACCTGCACTGAGTCAGGATGATTAAGTGGATGTGAAAGCAGCAAGATAACTGTTCTTCCCTTGCCAAGATAAGAGAACCACACACATAATGCATGCACATTAACATTAGCCAAAATGCTAGATACAAGCGCAACCCCTATAAAACAAAAACAAAACAAAAAAACAGTATTATTTATTTATAAGCTGTTTTCCTCATGGGGACTTTAAATTTCATATCTTGCCCTCATGGAGACATTTTGTCCCCGTAATGTAGAGTACACCTGACCTGAACCACACACACTATACTGTTCAGGCCATGTTTTTAAAAAGTTTCTTATGCTCATGCACCAAGGCTGAGTTATTTGAGCAGGAATACACTATAGTTTTGTAAATATTATTACAAATACAAAATATTATTACAATTTAAAATAACTGTTTTCCATTTTAGTGTTTTTTAAAGTGTAATTTATTCCTGTGATGGCTGTGAATGCTTAGTTATTACTCCAGTCTTCAGTGTAACATGATCCTTCTGAAGTCATTCTATTAGCTATTTTGAGAAACACTCCTGATTCACATAACTTGAACTGTAATAGGATTGTATTGCTTTTCTTATGATGGATCCTAGGCCTTTAACTTTTTTAATAAAATAACAAACAGTATTAATTTTTTTTAAAATTTCATGCTTTGTTTATAATGAGGTCATTTTAAGCCTTGTTTAATGTTCTTATGTCAAATGTTTGAGTAAATTTAGTTTTTCAATTCATGACCCCTATTAGAAAAATCTTGCTGACCCCAAATTTTGGAATGTTAGAGTGTGTGTATTCTGTTTCAGAACTAGTATAGCCTAAGTATGTGCTATATCTGTTCTGTTAATCTACAACATCATGTGTCACAAAATCAAATTTGGGCATGTAGAAATCCCCTTAGATTGGTCTGCATTATTGTGCTAATCAGAGCTGGTTGAGAGAAGTCAGGCATATCATCTATCATGTCCTTACAGAAGCTGCCCCATGACTCCCTGGTAAATTACGGCAGCGCTTCAGGGGACGGAGCAGGGCGATGAGCCAGACTGAACACAGAACACAATTGTTCAGGCTGTTGCCAGTAATTCATAAATCTCATCATGGTTGTCATAGGAACATGACATGGGAACATGACGTCTCTTCCGCCAAGTCCCTCCAACCAACTACAAAACCTGGGCACTGCCCTTCCTGCAATGGTTGTAGGCGGGCCACAGACTTGCCATTAGTTCTACAGAACAATTTTAAAAATTCTACAAGCATGTATCCTGCTTGGATGATGGCTTTTCTTTGAAGATAAATTAAAAAAATAAATATTTGTAGATATTTCTTGTTCTAACAGTGCACATGTTGCTTTTGTCATTCCATGTCAATGAACAACGGAAAGAAAAGTTGGCCACCATCCCTGTGCTGAGTAAGACGGTGCAAGTGATGTATCCTGTATAAGTCATCCGAGAGTCATTAAAATCTTGCTCGCAGTGAACTTTTTTTAACATGACTTCAGAGTCAGTACTGTTTAGTAAATGCCTGCCAAAACAACCACAACATAAGACTGTTGGGCTGCATCCGAAATCACATACTTTCCTACTATGTAGTAGGCGTGTGACAAAAAAGTATGTTCGAACTCACAGTAGGCCTACACATAAAAGAGTAGGAAAATAGTACCCGGATGACATACTTCTTCCGGGTTCCGGCGAGATTCTGAAAAGGTGCAATGTGTATACATCCGGTGCGACGTTTACTATCCCAGAGCCACTGGATAGAATCCTATGGATAGAATAGGATTTGTGAATGGCAGTGACGCGACCAAAGTCCCTGTCAAGGACACGATGCAAGCTATGGATCGATGTAAGTGACGCAGGTAGGTCACTGACGAGGGCTTCCTGATTACATTCATAGCTATATTTATTCATTTATTTTAGCAAACGTGAAGTAATTCTTCTTCAAAATAAGTATCTACTCAAAGACAATATGCGATTTTTGACGCGGCCTTTGTCTCTAGGTGGAGCCACTTCCTTTATATCATTGATGAGTAGTGCAGGAAGGAAATATGTGGTGCACCCACGACACAGTGCATTTTTAACAAGCACATTTTCACTTAACATACAGATTCATCTTCTAAATTAGACAGTTTAATCAAAATTCAATTTCATCTAAAATTCTAAATGTAAAAATTCTAATTTCAACCTTATTCACCATCAGGAACAGGAAGCATTTAATGTCTGGGGATTGTGTCAGTCTGGGGTGACCTGATCTAAATTGTAGATATTTATTCAGGAGGTCCTGGGGGAGCTCAAGGTTCTGTTCTCTCTTTAAGGTCAGCTGGAGATAGACCTTTTTTCCCACTTCCTTGAGTGACTAGTTCCTTCCTTTGTCCTTCTTTTACTCATGCACTGTTAGTAAGTCTGAGTCCTGAATCAAAAAGTTCAAACCAGCTCATTTTTTTACTTGGAGATGACACTGTGACATTTCCTGTATTTGGACAAATAACACTGACTGAGACATTCTCGGTTTATTTGCTAAGCAAACGCAAATATATGGGCCATAACTGCCTGCTGTGATTGTTCATCAAGTGGTTGAGTTGTTTTTAAGATAACAACTGTATCAGATTATTCCCAAAACAGAGTTAGAAAAACATGAAAAAGTTGTTGTGAGATTGAAGACAAGAGGAATGACTTTTTGGGGTTTTTTGTCATTTAGGTTACACACCTAACTCTACATATCAACTTATAACTCGCTCTGCTGTATAAATGGGTGAACAATATCCCAAAAACTTGCATTACAGTAGCAACCAGAGTAGCATATGAAGACCAGAGCCTAGTTTTTCAAATGGTTTAATCTGGAATCCTTTTTTTTTTTTTTTTTTTTTTTTTGCGATCGGTGATCACAAAATCCAGCTTACTTTTGAGCTAGGTTTTTAAAGCCACATCGGACTGGATCAATCTGATCCGGATATAAACTTTTCTGGATCACCAAATCTGGAAAACCAGTGCTCAAACAGGATAGGAAATCACAATGTGGATCTTATGATAATGTAAAGAGCAACAAGTAGACAAAACAAGTAACAAACACTGTAGGCCTACATTGAGGATATTTATAACACATTTCAAATATATATCACTAATAAATATTCTAAAAAAAAATTTCGCTTGTGATATTAATTAGTGACAGATTACAATTTATTGTTTTTGGTCAATTTTGACAGCTGTTTGAGGGATTATTTTATGAGGCCAAACTCTTTCTACTTTGCTGTGGGCCTATATCACTGTAGCCTGACGGATGAACAAATAAAATAAAAACTTATGAATAAATAGGATATCTTGTAAGATACTGCATGATCCAAATATAGTATTATTTGATACTTTTTTAAAGTTTTCATTACATTTTGGGCATTAAATCCACGCTGAATCCACTCTTTTGATGGGATCAGTTTAATCCAGATTTTTTAAAATCCTACAAAAAAGTTCTGAAAAACCTAAACTAAAGGTTTGATCCAGATCAAAACCAAGATTGGATTACGTGATCTAATCCGATTATGTAATCCGTTTTTTTCTTTTGAAAAACCCATTTTCAAGATTTGATTCAATCCGTTATCCAAAATCATAGTGGATTACTTTTAAAAAAACGGGCCCAGAATATTAGAGTGAGAGATCTTTTCAGTTAAGCAACCATGAAACACTTTGACGTCAGTTTAGCATGCAGTTACATTTTAGAAATAAGTTCTTTTATACACAAGAACTATTTCCGTTTCCTCTTTATTTCTCTAAAACCATATCCAGCTCATATAAAAAGCACTGCATTCATGACACAATCTATGACATTAACCCCTTGCAAAACACTTCCTTATTGGGATATGATGTACTCTTCCTTAATGTGCAAGGCAAGAATATGAACTCATAATTGCAACACCAAAAAAAGTCATTTCATGGTATCAAAATAGGTTTTATTTCACATAATTAAACAGTCAAAATTTTATAAATTTTGCATATAAAGGTTTTAAAATTAGGAGCTTAAATTATGCCGACATAAAAAAAGTGATATTCACAGAGTGGGTTTTATTCCAGGGCAGTCAAGTTCTGTCCTCTCTCATTTAATCAACCATAAGAATCACAGGGATCATATGGACAGAAAAAATCATTTGAGACAATTAATCTTACACCTTGAAGGAAAACATTGAATGAAAAGTCAATTTAAGGGGAAAATGGAAGAAGCCACTGTTTGAAGAAGGAAAGTTCAAACTAAACATCTTGAATGTTTGGCTCTTTAATCGATAAGTATGAAGAGGATGGAAAATCGATTTGCTGTGTGACAGATTCACACAGACATGACCCTACATCTGTTTGTGAAGTGGTCAGAGTTTAAATGTAAGATACCAAAAAAGCTGGTCATTCAAGTTAGCACACGTCTCTTTTCCTGAGAGATAGCACTAGTAGACACTATTCAAAACCTAGTTTGGATGGTTTGATTTAATGAATTGTTAATATTGGCATATGAAAACAACTTAGGCAGACTTTTAAGAGAAGCATAGCCACATTTTTTAATATAACTCTTTGTTGTCCAGTCTTTAGATTCCTGAAGATCACTGGCTTCCTCTAGTGGTGAAATTCTTATGAAGCGTTTGAGGCTTCAGGGCAACTCCAGTGAAAAATGTCACATGGCTCCCAAAATGCCATTTAAATTATTACAATGTCTGATCATTAATGCATTCATCCAGCATAATGCTAAATTTCTTTGATAGTGCCTAATAATACTGCAGCCCTTATTGTAACTGAATTCCCTTTGAAATAAACTCCTTCCAGTAATGACAAAACGAGCAAGCTCAACAAAAGGCATAAAGGCATTTTTCAGTCATAAATGAACCGACTATAACCAAACAGCTGTTCATCTCATAGCTTTTCAAAGACGGGAGCCCCGGAACAAAACATTGACATCTTATGAAACTTTGTGAAACCCATGATCAGTGTCACCTTTTCTATAAACCAACCATTCAACATCATCCACAGAGCACCCACAAACTAACAAGCTACACAATACTATACCAAACCCACTATTTCTGACGTTACATGATATTTAATTCTCAAGATCGTAGAAAAAGTCTTCATAAAGATCAACAAAAATCAAGCAGGGATACTTTTAAAACAAAATTGATCTTACATTTACATGTAAAAGCTTCTGATTTCTGCAGCTGTGGCTGAACTAAATTAAAATTGAACTATAATCAAGTTAGTGACAATGAAAATTAGGACTTTTCTAAAGGGGTAGATCACCAAAAAAATTAACATTCTGTTATTTACTCATCCTCACGTCATCCTAAACCAGTTGAACTTTATGTCTTATTATTCTGAGGAACACAAAAGAAAGATTTTTTAAAACTTTTTTTTGTCCATTTAAAGAAAGTCAATGGGGTCCAAGTAAGGTACTCTATTGGCCCTCAACAACATTCAGTGTATGGACAAAAAAAGAAGAAAGAAAAACACCTTATTATTTTTATTTTTTAAATATCCTCGTTCCACATAAGATGATCTTACAAGTTTGGCATGATGTGAGGGTGAACAAAGGGTGACAGAATATAAATTTTAGAGTTAAGTATCCCTAATATATATTATATATATATATAAAAGATGACAAATGTTGGCTACAAAATGAGTCTCATCATATTGTAGTTAATAAAGCCACTGCCTTTGATCTCAATTAGTGTGATGCCTTATAATTCCAGTTATGTTAAAGACAACACAAAAAGGTAAACCTCAAAATGCACATACTAGTTGCATCTGCATCTAAAAAATAATTAGCATGATTTGTAAAAGAAAAATCAAAAGTTGAGAGCAAAAAAAGGGAAAAAAGCATGCTGATGTGAGTTAGGGATATTGGAGGGATTTTTTTATATATATATTTAATTCAACCTGTCAATATTCAGTAGCACAGTTCTTAGACATTATTTTTTAGTTTTCAAATGACTGCTGGAAAACCACAGGCTCTGTGTGACAGTCTCTTCAGCTTACTGACTCACAGCAGAGCTAGCCAAGCACCCAACCCCACTGCAGTAGAAGAGTGAAAAGCATCCATGTCAGCATGCCTCATAAGCACCCATGCCCCAGAGTGAGAAAGAGAGAGAGAAAAAATTGCAGAGGAAGAGGGGGTGGACAGCTCTCAGGCCCCTCAGTGGCCTTCTGTGGCTTTAGGCTTGGACGCTTTCTTAAGACTCTCTTTCATACTCAAGGACTCCAGCTGCTCCATCAAATCTGCCGCACCCTGGCCCACGGATGGACGGGAGGCACTGTTGTCTACAAACATGTTTGGGATTTCCTGACCGAAGTAGATCTTGCTGTTTGCGGCTATGGCCTGATATTTCATCAGTTCCAGGTACTCTGGTGTAAGCTTCAGCTGTGGAGGAGGGAGACAGTAGTCTGATAAATGATCTGAGCATTTCCTGTGGAATCAACTGTACTGAAGGAATGCGTGAATGTGCTTCCATGTGTTTAGAGTGGACACTAGCACCAACACCACATGTGCTCTCTTAATATAGCTAGTTGAGGGATATTTTAGCTTTGTATAAGCTGAAAAGGAGTGAAATTCCTTCACACAATTCAGTATTTTGCTTTCTCGTTTATGTAATTAACAGATAAGATCACTAATCTAATTAACTCACTAAAAGTGAACAAACTTACTGAAACACCAATCTGTGATTTAAACCAATGTGTTAAAGGGTAACACTTTATAATAAGGTAAACTAACAGAACAGTTCATTTTTACAAAATGTATTAATTTTAGTAAAATATAGTTGTTCATTGTTTTTTAATGTTAATACACAGTGCACTAACTATGTTATTACACAGCTCTGTTGAATACTTGACTCCATTCGCCCGATCATCCCGGGTTACTGTCACTGAAGACGGCGCTTTACACTTACTGGGAACCTTTTTTTCTCGTGGAAGTTTTACGTTTGGTGAGCTATTAAAATACTCAAATCAATATTTTGTATACAGGTATTTAATTATGTCATCCGGTATCACGGACTCCCTCTCGTTTCATACAAACGCAGCTGTAATAAAAATAAGATAACAACGATTTTAAATGAGTTTTATCTCAAATCAATATATCTTATCCCATTAGTTATCTATGTGCAACACTGAATAAGAGGTGTGACCGTACCGATTCTCTTAAATGTCTGTCTTGTTTGAATTGTGTTAAAGCTGTAGTCCGCAGTTTTCCTCTCTGTTACCATCTGTTCAAAATCTGCAATTGCAGTTATTCACGGAATAATTAACTTTACATGGGCTGTGCAGCGTGGATGAACACAATGTTTTCACTAGAAAATGTCATCTGAACAAATAACATCCACTTTTGTTCTGACCAACTAAAAAAGCATTGCAGTAAATTCCACTGATTAAATCTAACGATCGCTTATCAAATCACGTCAAACCGTGCAAATTATACTTTGATCTCAAATGTTCAACATCAGCATTGCGTGACTACATTTAATGCTCTTCCGATATTTATCCTGGGCCGGTTGCAGTCACTTCTTTTCTGTAGCCACTCAAAGTCTTTTGCATTTTACAGCGGGTGAATCTGTTGTCACAGGTGATTGTCGAACCTGTCGTTATAAATCTCCACCTCCAGCATCCTCACTCGCAATATTGCCTACTAGCCGAGACTCTTCTTTATGAGTACCGATGTGACGTAATGACGCAAAGACATGCTCGAATCTCCCGCGAAATCCACCTGTACCACTGGAATTAAAAACATTATTACAAGCTTACCGCTTTGAATCGAGCTACGGCGAGCAGATGGTTTTGAACACTGGCTGGTTATGTACTTGCTCAAATTTATTTTGGATAATTTTTAACCCCAAAAAGTTATGGACTGGAGCTTTAATGTTAACAAATTAAACCTTTTTTTAAAGTGTCACAGATTAAACACTGTGTAAATGCACTTAACAATTTAAAACATCTTTAAAGCTAATAAATGGGATCTTCCAAGGATTTCTCAAAATAATTATGGCAATGAAGAACTGAATGTTCACGTGTAAAGGGCACCAATTTCACAATTTATTAAATAAATTAAATGGTAAAAAAAATACATTGAGCAACACACAAAAATGTAACTAAAGAATAGAAAAGTAGTTGTTTTTTTACCCTGTTGGCTTCAGCAAATTTTGCAGCGGTGTAATATTCTGCATCTGCTCTTGCCTTCTCTCTTGCCAGAAAAGCAGCATCTGTTACAATCAAAAAATGGGTCTGATGAGCAACATACTCTGTGTGACACATGCTATGAAAATGCTCAGTAGATAAAACAGACCTTCAATTTCAGAGATCTTCTTCTCTGTTTCCTTCTCCATCACTTTTTGTTGGAAGTGAATCCCGGCCACTTGAGCCATTTTCTCGGCCTCTTTAATGAGAGCAACACACAAGATGAATGAGGGCAGAACCCTGATCCTGAACATGATCAGCATTATAAGTTTGGACTCACCTATGATGGCCTTCTTTCTCTCAGTTTCAGCCTCTTTCTCTACAACTTTCTGCGTCTGAACGGTGATAAGCAGCCTTGTCTTCTCTGCTTCCCTGCAGATTATAAAAGACAGGGAAAACAATTATGTAAAATTTTTACTAAAACAATAGATACATGTATTCGAGGACAAAAAAAATCAAGATGCCTGATGATTTTCAGTACACTACCGATCAATCAGTAAGATTTTTTTAAAGGAAACAATACTTTCATTCAGCAAGGAGTATTAAAATAAATAAATATTCACTCACATTAGTTCATAGTTTCTTCTGATTGACTCTGGAATTTTAGGTTTGGTGACTCTCACGGCCTGCAATTTATCATGTAAGTGAGTAATTCTGCTGAAGTCAAAGCTGAAAAAAAAACTACAGATAAAAAAAAACAACATACCTGAATAGTGAGACCAGGAGCCATAGCATTCAAGTCCTTCTGCAGTGCAGTCTTTAAGTTCTCATCAATTATGTCTGTCAAACAAAAACGACACAAATGCAAGTCTCTGACAAAGATGAAACTTGTTATGACACAGCAGAAACTTCTGTGCTCATATAAACAACTAAACGTTCACATTATACTTGGCAGAATAAACTGTTTGACATAAGTGACTCACACTCACCGAACAGCTCTATGTAGACTTCCTGTAGTGTGTGCACACTGCAGAACTGGTTTAACTCATGGTGAATTTTGTTGAAGATTAGCGTCTTGTCATAGTCTGCAGTGTAGTTCTTCACTATCTCCAGCACTGTGGAGAAAAAGAAGACAGAAGAAAGTAATACAGGCTTGAATGTTTTTACATTTTTGGGTTAACTCGCTCTTTAAAGTCGTCATGAAATCAAAATTGACCCTATTTACTTGTGGTGAACAATTAATCCATGTAAGTTAATACATGGGAAGAAAAACTGTTTTGTCGTGGTAAACTTTAATCAAAATCTATAAATGTCCTCAACCACTCCAGTAAGTAAACCCCTGCCCTCAGTTTCACTTGGAAATACATCACAACATGGAAGTAAAGTCTTACCAGCTGATGGAACCAGCATGTTGACCACTTCAATTCTGTCAAAATAGATCATAACACCCCCACTGTGGAAGAGAGAAATTATAATTTTTATTCAAGAGCCACAGAAAATATACCACACAAAATAAAGATGGCTATTTATTATACATTTAACAGACCAGCCAACAAAAGGAAGGTTTACCTGGTTCCACAAGGCACATTTTTTATTTCATCAGTTTGCAAAGTTGTCTGCAAATATGAGAGAAAAAGATTAGCATCTTCAACTAAATATTCAAGAACATCAAAAACCCATCCTTGTTACAGAAGTCAAATAACATTATCATGATCAGCAACATTTAAAGCTGTAATAAGAGCAATAATGAATTTGTTATTAGGCCAGTTGTAAAAAAAAAAAAAAAAACATTTGTACCTGCACTGATCTATATGAAGTGATGAAAGGCAGCATTATATGGTAGCCTGGGCCATTAGGAGATGTCAACAAAGCTCCTCCTCTGAAAAATAAATGGTAAAACACATGAACTAATGTGAATGATAGTGAATGATAAATGTCACCAATATCGTTTGCATATAAATAACATTACCACTGCCATTTTCATTTTTGGGTGGAAACTTAAAACTTAAAACCCATGACTTAAAATTCTGTCATCATTTACTCATTCTCATGTCATTTCAAACCTGTTGGACTTTCATTTTTCTGTGGAGCACAAAATATGATATTTTGAAGAATGTTGATAACTAAAACGTTTCGGTGAGCATTGATTTCCATTGTATGGACAAAAATAAAAAAAATTTCTCTAAATAGTTAATTTGCAGAAAATAAAAGGATTGAAACAACATGAAGGTAAACAATGATGACAATTTTAATTTTAAACGACTGAAACAAAGTTAACTGACCAAGCCTTTCCTCAACCTACAATTAGATTACAGGTATTTTATGAATGATTAACAAAAGCAGCATAAAACCCTGGATATTTTCAATGCAATTTCTTTAGACTCACCTGTAATACACAGCTAAATGTCCTTCCTCAATCTTGTGTATGGAAGAATGAAGCAGAATGGACATCACACCAGCCATTACTGCAACTACTGCCCCAACATGTGCCATTGTCATTTGGCCAGTGTTCACCTGCCGAAAGACAAGTTTGTAAAAAGGAAACTTGAGCTGATTCTTAACATAAACACTCAATTTAGGTGACAAAAGATCAGCTTATAACACAAGCTAGGGCCCTGGTTGCAAACATGTAAGTAGATCAGTGTGTGCTGCAGAACCTCCCTCCACTGAGTCCCCCCCACCCCACACAACACACACACGCGCGCGCAAACTAATCTCTGGAGAACTGCACAGCAAACTGAGATAACAGGTTTTCAAAGTCCATTTGACCCACACACAGCCCCCATACACGGAAGCAATGTTTCCAAATGCAAATATGCAATACAAATACATTCTTATGGGCAAATCGTGTATGTATCAGTGACATTGAGAGCTGCATAACTCTCAAAGCTATTTTAGGGAAACGAGTGTCAATCATAAGGGCTGACAGTGACTAGGAATTGCGTTTCAACTCCTAGTGAGACTAGTGCAGAAGTGCAGTGTAGTGTTTTGTTCTAATGTGCCTATGATGGTGTCTAGGAAGGCAACTCGGTATCTTTTTAAAACAAAGCGTCTCCATGACTTGTCCTGGCTACGCAGGCAAGCTAAGTTACTTCCTCAAATGAAGTGCTGACTCGCCCGTACTACTTACTGTAACGTTACACGGCACGAACTGATATGAATGAGCGTAATCTGTCGGTTCTTATGCTACAACAACCGTTACAGTCATTCACGTGATCTAAACATTGTAGAAGCCACCACATCACTCACACATGACTACATTTCAGCTAACCTACGCCCACGGCTGGCTAACTGCTAATTATTTGACATGCAGGCAAAACGACATTCTGTCAAGTTAAACTCCATATACGACGGGCTAATAATAGCAACAGTAATCATTTACCGATCATTCGTTTATATAATGGACGATGCTGTCCTCTCACTTTCGCAGGACATTACTTTATTACTCACGACGCCGTGTCCAACATTGTAGGTTGGAAGGTTCCCAAGTGAAACGCTTTGTGAATCCGATACTGATTTCCCTTTCAAAATCTGCTTCAAGCACACCTTCAAAATAAGAGTCACCAGTTAAAGGGATAGTTCACCCAAAAATGAAAATTCTGTCTTCACTTACTCACCCTCTCGCTATTGTTACAACCCTGTTAAACACATATAAAAAGATATTTTAAAGAATGTTGTTGGTAACCAGACAGTTGTTGATGGACCCCATTGACTTCCATTATAGGAAATAGCCTACTATGGAAGTAGAAACAGAAGAAAGAAACTCATGCAGGTTTAGATGAGAAAGTAAGTGATTTTCATTTTTGGGTGAACTATCCTTTTAATTCTGGGATCACCATTATTAAAAATCATTATACATATAATTAGAAGTGTTATTTTAAGCAATAAAATGTGTCTTGTTATAGAAGTCCGTGTGCTACTGAGTTGCTATGGAAACAGACGCACAGTAAGCTGCTTACGAATTGAAAATGGATGTACTGGGAAACTTGGAAGTTCGGTGAGTTAATGTTACGAATTATTTATTTGAGAAAATTTGTAAAGTCTTTATCATTGTTTCCGTAGCAGATAATGATTTTTTAGCTTGTAAAGTAAACACATTTTTGCATCAGTATCTTAGTTAGGTAACGTTACCTAGCATTGAGCAGAAAACATGCTCGAATATAAGTTAAAGATGAACTGAACTGAAAAATATCGACGTTGAAAACGTGTTGTTTATGACAATTAAAAGTAAATTACACTAAACATTTTTTTTAAATATATATTAATATAGCTTTTTTAAGCAACGCAAAATTGCGCTTGTTAGCGCTGGCAGTTCCGATGACGTCACTGGCATGGTAGGACCCGCGGAACGCCATAGACAACAGCTGTAGGTCCTGTATACACAGACGAAAATGAGCGCTTTTAACGGCATGGATTACGCATTTGAGCCCGTGAGGGACAGGCCGGTAGTGTCTGACTACCACCACATGGAGGACGATCAGTTTCAGGCTTCACTTGCAGTACAGGATCGTTTGGGGGAAAGTGACTGTGGGCGCGAGCGCTGTGGAGCATAGACACTGCACGGAGACGATCTGTTGCAGAGAGGTCAACATGGACATTTATTGATCGACGAAAAATGCATCACCATGCACCGTTCATTTCGGATGCTGTTCGGTGAGAGAAACGTGTTGAAGGAGGCTATGCTGTCTCTAATGGATGTCCGAGCTGAGACGCTGGACCGCCCCATAAGTAGCAGGGTATTTTAGGAATAGGTGACGGCTGGGCTAACTTGTTAGACTTTTCTTAGATTGTTTAGATTAACAGCTTACTGGCAGTTCACTCTATGGGCGAGGGTGCATTTAAGAAGGAGAATCCCATCCTTTACAGTGAACTATACATCAGGGATCTTTTCCCCCTCACCCGAATATCAAGGATTCGAGTAACCTTAACGTGATGCATTGAACTTGTAACTTGTGTAAATAAAACATTTCGTGCATTGTCAGACGTTTCATGTACTCATTGACGAAAGTACACATCTCTAAATAGTGTGTCGCTAAAAAATCTGTTTCCTCAGCCATGTCAGCTAGCCTCAGACTGTTTACAAGCTACGGCTGTTCTGCTGGTGCGGGTAGGCAACGGAGTGGCTTACCATGCCAGTGACGTAGTCGAACGTTGAAATCCAACATGGCGGCGCCCGTGTAACAAAAACAACACTTTCAATGTACCATTTTATCCCTTTTAACAAATTATGCCTTTTTAAAAATTGTACCAATGAGAATAAATAAAATACATCTGTTATATCACCTTTTCTCAAATTTCAGTTCAGTTCATCTTTAACGGTACACAGCACACGCTGGAAATACTCTGTTATGATATAAAGTAAACTAAAATACACTAAAATCAACGTAATACTCTTACAATCTGGACAAAAAACACCTAGCCACAAACAATTAAAAAGCTATCAAAATATGTAACATTACAATAAAATATTGTAGTATTCTTGCCATGATGAGAAAACATAATGTTACAAAAAGATATGTAAATAATGCGTATTTTATGTTTATTGCCATCTATAAGGTGGGTGCAAGGATTCACCAATGGGACATTTAAATTTGTCGACAAGAAAACAGCATGCTACCCCTGCGGAGATTTCATTGTTTTCCTCAATGTGGAAACTAAAACGAGGAAGACTCTGCAGAGTCCTGCTTCTGGTATTGGGGCCTTTACAGCAAGTGGACATCGCAGGTGTCTTGCTTTCTCTGACCTCAGACTGAATCCTTCCATCTTTGTCTACAACTATCCAGAGCTTGAGCTAATGTGTGAACTGAAAGGTCAGCTATTTTTGATTTGCACCTTGAACAACAAACTCCTTGGCTGGTTTGGGACACACAAAATTTTGTAAACATGTAAAACAATTTTTAACATGTAAAACTATTTAAAACTTGTTCTCTCTCTTTTTTTTTTTAGGTACAGCTAAACTGGGCTATACAACTTTGGCACTGTGTGATACTGGCCCTTATTTAGTCAGTTCTTCCTCCAAACCTGATCAAACCATCACCTTATGGTAAAATCCATGTATATATATAATGTATATATTTGAAGACCTCCGATGCAAAAGCCTCTAAAAGCCATCTAGGCCTATGTCAAAAATGAGATCGCTGAGATACATTCATTAAATGAGATGCGTTCATTAAATGCTTTCACTACAAACTCAATAAATCCCAGCCTCAGCCCATTCAGAAATGTCGATACTTTGGTAGAAACGTATACATAGAAGCCTGATAAAACACGTTTGGTGGACTTCAATGCTTTTGCATCGGAAGTCTTCATGTATATATACAAATTCAATCTTTTTATTTGCATTAGTCTGAGATTTGCTTCAGAAGTTCTTTATATTTTAAATTTCAGTTTCAATATTATTAATTCATATCTTTTTAGGAACTGGGAGAGTAAGATTCCACTTTGTAGCCATCCAGTTTTGGGAGAGGACATCACTGCACTGGTTTTCAACCCCATGAACTGGTGTCAAATTTGTGCTGTAAAATCTAAAGCCCTTACCATCTGGAATGTTGAAAGATGTGGCAACTATCATTTGATGAATCCCAGGTAGAGTGTGTCTCCAGCAGATGTCACTGTTATTTGCACATGTATTTCATATGCCGATAGGACCAATGCACAGAAATTGTTAATTGTACTCATTATATATTCTTTATGTTTGCTTGGCAGTGCTGTTGATCTCCCCGCCACTGATGGTTCAGCTATTGAGTGTGAAGCAAGCCCGTCTCATATGCTCAGTGGGAAGCTGACCCACCTCAGTCTTCAGATGCCCACTTCAGCTATCGCTGGACTGAGTGGAGACAAAGCTGATGACTTTGTGGTAAGGGCTGTCTTTAGTTAGAACTTAGTGTGTTCTCATAAACGAGTAGTTGTCCTGAAGATAGGTTTTTATCAGAGCTGAATTAATCTAAATTAATCAAAACAATTGTCTACAAAAAATGTTTAAGGTTTTCCATTTTTCAATCAAAACAAAAGTACAGATATTATTTATATATAATAATCAATGATCATTTTTAATCAATAAAATTTATTGAAGTAAGACTGCTTTTCTATGGGAAAGATCATCGAAAAGTTCGGACTACACTTTTTTGTGAAAGTGACAGCAAAATATTTGTCTTTGTCCCAACAGCATTTGAAACGAATAAAAACAAAACTGTGTCCAAGTGCCACCTGCTGGTCAACTTCTTCTGACCTGTATGTTGGTTGCAAGGAAGGTTTCCTGCTTTGTGTGAATCCTGACACTTTGCTTGTCTCTGTCCTGTATAAACCCCAAACTGATGTAACCAGCACAGGTAAACTTATACTTGATGCATATCAAATTAGAACATTATTGATTTCACTATTGACATTTTTGTAACTAGTAGGCCTATACAATTTAGACTTATAGTTCCTTGTTTTTATAGATCTTATTTTAATTGCATGTTATTGTATTTTTACATCACAGATGACAGTGAAACGTCACTACAAGAGGGCAGTTTCCAGAGCTTAGCACTGCAGGACTGTAATCTCTTTGCTACAGGAATTGTAAGAAATGTTATTTATCTTCACCCTGATAATAGTCCTGAAACTGAACACTTCTCTCTTTCAAGTGAGGCATAATTTCAACCTGATTCAAGAGCATTTCCAAAACCATTACAGGAAGGCATTTTACGAAAAATACATATGAAAGGAAACAAATTAGAGGTATTGCAGACTTGGGCTTTGGATGAGGCAGCCTCGGCTATATGCTTTTCCCCTGACTGTGAGACACTGCTGCTAACTTCTAACACAGTAAGTGTTATTATAATTTACTATAAAACCAGTGTATTTTTATGATTCATGCCACAGATATATTATTGTAAAAACAGTTTTATGATAATGTACAATATATTTGACCTCATCAATAGTTATATATAAACCCATCATAGCCTTATTTATGCCAGAATGCAATGCAAATCATAAAAAAAGAAGAAAAAAATATTTAAAGACTGATGAGAAACATATAAATTCTGATTTTGCTTCACAGGGCTGTGTTTACAGATTCAAACCATTTCTGAAGGATAAAATTGTCAAAGTCCTTGATGTCCTCTGTGGAGATTTTGTGGCCGTTGCTCCAATCTACACTGATAGAAGCGTTTGTTTGGTAAAAGATCTTTGCAGTGTCAGTAATTTAAAGGCATAGTTCATGATTTAGTCAACCTCAAGTTGCTCCAAACCTGTATGAATTTCATTCTTCTGCTAAACATATATTTTGAAGAAAATGGGTAACCAAACAGTTGCTGGGCAACAGTGACTTCAATAATATTTAAAGTATTTTTTTTTTTTTTTTTAATACAATGGAAGTCAATGGGGCCCTTCAACTGTTAGGTTACTTACATTCTCCAAAGTACCTTTTGTGTTCATCCGAAGAAAAAAAATCATACAGGTTTGGAACAACTTGAGGGTGAGTAAATTATAACATGTTTTAAATTTTTGGTTACTATCCCTTTTAAATAATAAATTGATACTATTAGAATAGTATTATTACAAAAAGTAAAAATAAAATATTATTGAAAATAGCATCTGCATCTCCATTTTTGCAGTCAGTCAGAGAAGCAGGAGACGTACAGCTGTGGGCTCTGGATGATGGACAATGCATGGGCTCTATCTCTCTGCAAACACATGTTAGTACTATAATTACAGGTTCTATATGAATCACACAGTACTTATTTTCCCCAAATCATAAATACACAAATCTGTGTATAACTATTTGGTATGACTTTACTTCAGGTGACCAGTATGGCATGCTGCCTCCTAGCGCAGTATGTTGTTGTAGGGACAGCCACTGGAGATGTCCTATTTGTGGAGATGACTACAAAACAGAAGCCCAGACTAGTTCACAGAGTTCATTTCTACCATGTCCCTGTAGACCATTTAGTGTGAGTTTCTCAGCTCCAGCATTATTTTTTCTCATATTTCTATAGAATTGGAGGAATCCCAGACAGTAACATCTGTGGAATCTAAATGTACCAGATGTGTGCCGGAAATGGGCCGACACTATGTTGCTTTCTGGGATGTGAACTGAATGTTGAGCATACTGTATAATGTATATTTGTTCAACAGGTTTGATCAAGGTGGCAACTTCTTAATCACAGGAGCATCAGACTCACGCATGTTTGTGCTGAATGCAAGGCCATCAAAAGGATTTGAAGTTATTGGATGGATTGGTAATTTTTAAGGCAACGTATGCTTGTCATTCAAGTTTCGGTCAGTAAGATTTATTTTGAAAGAAATTAATAGTTCTAATCAGCGAACATTAGATTGACTGGAAAAATAACAGTAAATACATTTATAATTATATTAAAAGTGTTCTATTACTAATTAGTGCTGTTCTTTTGAACTTTCTATTCATCAAAGAATGCAGAAAAATTGATCCTGGTTTCCACAAGAAAAATAATTAAGCAGTATGGTTTGAACCGTTTTCAACATTGATTGTAATTACTTTTTGTGATATAATAAAATCAAGCATTTATTTTAAAAATATTTCATATTGCTGGATATTTATTAAAATAAATGCATCATTGGTAAGCACAACAGACTTCTTTCAAAAACATGAAATAAATAAAAATAAAACCTTCTTGATCCCAATCTTGAATGATAGTGTATTAACTTTTTTGTCTAAAGTTTTAAATAATTTCTAACAAGTTGTTTTACATTTTTTTTTTTTCAGAGGCTCCAGGTGCCATTGTAAGCCTTTCCACTCAGTACCAAAGGGAAAGCGGACAGGTTAAAGTGCTGGTGCTATGCAACAAGACAGGGACAGAAATTAATGAGGGAAATGTACTTCTGTTACTGACGTTGTTTGTGCAACAGTTTACAGGTACATGGGGAAAAAAACATGCCATAATTGAGGCTGGCATAGAAGCCTGGCTTTGCTGACAAATTAGGAGAACAAAAGATAGACATTCAAAGTACATCACCCCAGCTCTCCTTATTATAATCTTGTGCCTTTTCCAGACTCAACAAGTTGTGTGGATGTCTACGGCCATCTGCGTGAAGATGTCCTTCACAGCTGTTTGTACGAGCTCCCTCACGCACTTTGTTCTTGTGTCCTGGCCACAGACAAGATATTTGGTTACTGCCAACAGAGAAAAGTCTTGCAAAGATTCAGTATCCCTGAGGTGCAATAAGAACACACTCACAGCTTGATGACAGTTTTATTTAGTTTTTTGGCAGTGCACCTAACTGCTTCTCATGTGTTATACAGAGTGGTGAAAAGCCCTCTAATGTGCAGGAAGCAGTTAAACTTATACCAGAGAAGGAGGCAGCGGGACATTTTCTGAGCCCTGCATTTCTACAGCTCTCTCCACATCAAGTCTGGCTGGCAACAGTTGGCAGGGATGGACTGGTGTGCGTCTGTGAGATTTCAACAATGGTATTGTCTGTTTAAATCACTCTCTACAAGTACATTCATGTTTATGAGCACTGGGCTTGGAGCAACATGTTTCTCAGAAAATACCCAAATATCTGAAGAGTATACCTTTGACATGCAGGACAGGTGTGTGCAGCTGCAGTGCCACTCATGTTGGCAGGATGGAGTCGGATCTGTTTGTTTCACCCCAGACAGTCAGACCCTCATCACCTCTGGCCTGAGGGATGGCTCGCTTGTCTGCAGCAGGCTAAGGTGCATAACATTAAACAGACATATACTATAGCAATATTTTCTCTCTCTGGTCATTTTAAAATGTCCTTGAAACTGGACCTGAAGCATTTTAGTTTTTTCAATGCTTTCAAATTTAACAGGCTAAAGCTTTCTGGGGCTGGCAAAGCAGCTGCAGCCACCCAGTATGGTCAATCAGTTGCTGATTCTTTTGAGTCAGTAGTCTCCTCAGAGAACATTGTCCTCACCAAAATGACTGACTGGGATTCACAGACACAATCCTTTACCAGATGTGCCTCATTTCATACAGAAGAGGTATAGAAACACAGTGTTTTCTAATGTTAAAATATTAGGCACAATATTGTACCTGGTTTAGCAGTTTAAGTGGGGAGATGTTCCTTGAGATACACAATATAAACTGTCAGAAAATTCTGCCTGCAGGTCAATTTTAATGAAAAGATGAGTCATGAAGCTGAACAAGAGGAAAACTATTTTGCATCCCCAACTAGTTCTACATGGCTTGATAAGAAATGTGATGTGGTTAGTGCTTGTCTCTGAATTTATGTACTGTATGTGTTGTTGTGTCTCATTTAAGTAAAATGGCTAATCACAGGCCTCCAGGAGAAAATTCATATGATTACAAATCAAAATATGTTTATGGAAATAATTAGCATGGTTAACCTCAAACATCTGGGTAATGGCAAAGGTGTTGTAACCTTATACACTCAGTAGTTATTATATTATTTGTATTCATACTACTTATTATTATTATTATTATTATTATCATCACCACAGTGAATACATTTATCAAAACCCAATAAATTGAGCAAAACCCAGAACCTACACTGTCATTCAAAAGTTCAGTAAGATTAATACATTTGAAAGAAATTAATACTTTTATAGTCATTCAAAAAGTATCATGGTTTCTACAAAAATATTAAGCAGCGCATGTTTTCTACATTGATAATTAAGGTTTTTTTTTTGTTTTGTTTTTTTTAGCAAATCAGCAAATTAGAATTATTTCTGAAGGTTCATGTGACATTGAACACCGCTCTACAGTAATTTGAAAGTGATTGCAGTACCAGTTTTGGCCACAATCTTGCATATGGCTCCTTTAAAATAGAAAACATCTTTTGAAAAAATAAATACAGCCTAAAGACTTTATAAAAAATCTTACTGCCTTTTGAATGGTAGTTTATATTTTTTATACTGGTTTACACAAACATCAAGGAAGATGCCTTAAGATATAGAATAACTGAAAGATAATCCATTACTACTAAGATTATGACTTTAGTGGGATCTCACCAGGTTCTCCAAGAAGAGATTCAGCAGTATGCAGAGACGAAGAAGAACCTAAGAAGAAACATTAAGGTTCTTCGTGACAGAGTAAGAGAAAGAATCCTCCACTTTTATTATGAATGTGTCTATTTAAAAAAAAAGTATGATTTAATTTGATTGCTGAAAGGTTCATCCTAATTGTTTCTGGTTTACTCCAGATCAAAGCTATGATGGAGGAGAATGAGAGTCTGGCAGACATGGAGAAACTGGAGCAACAGGAATTTAACCTGGATGTTGAGGAGCAACAGAGACTGCAGCTGGAGGGAGAGCAGGAGGTTACCAGGGTAAACAACATGACTGTTTACAGATGATTAGAGCAGATTACTTATATTGACATCTTTTTGGAAGCAGTTGTGGCCTAATAGTTAGTTAGAGAGCCGGACTTGTAACCCAGAGTTTGCGGGTTTGAGTCTCAGTACCAGCAGGAAATGAATGAACAGCACTCTCTTCCTCTCTCATTACCCACAACTAAGGTGCCCTTGAGCAAGGCACCTAAACTCCAATCGCTCCCTAGGCATGCTCTGGGTGTGTGTGTGTTCAATACTCACTACTGTGTGTGCAATTGGATGGGTGCAATGCAGAGCACAAAGTACTAAGTACAGGACACCATATTTGGCTAGACGTCACACGTCACGCCACTTTTGTACAAACAAGCTTTTCGGTTTATATATAATTTCTTTCCCTTATAGTTCAACAATAATATCTTGTGATTAGACTGTTGATACCTCATCAGATATTTATGTAAAAACTTATACATCTCAACTTTTTTTGTGTGTGTGTGGTTTAAGGTGAGGAAGGAGATTGAGATGGAGAATCTGGCTAAGTGCTATCAGAGGGAGGTCCTGAAGAGAGAATGCTGGGACTCCATGCAAGTCAAAGGGAAAGCCATTAAGGTATCTGGTTGATTTTATGTGGGGTAAAAAACTTTGTAACAATATACCCATCCATCAATTTCACCTGGCTTACCTGTAACTACTAGAAATACTATACAGCTGCCAACTGTGAGTGTCTTTGTGTGTTCTTCATTGCCTTCAGGCCTTTCATTCAGAAAATGAGGTGAAGAATTACCCCATGAAGGAACGCACTGAAAAGGAACTTGAAGAGCTTCATAGGGTCGAGACCATGAGGCAGATTGAACAGGAACATTCACAAGTAAATGTACAGTGTATTACTCAAACAATAATGAGTCAGCTGTTGGAATGGAATGATACTGAACATAATGTACCTTGACGCTGGATACACAGTGTTTGTTTTTACAGATGTTAGATTCGTAAAACCTGACACAAATAAAATGAATATTCTTCATAGCTTCAAGGGGCGATTTTAGACACAATCCCTGGAGAGAAAAGGGAGGAGATGACAGAAGAGGACAGTCCTGCTCTGACTGGCAGTCTGAGTGCTCTTTATGGAGGCGTCAACCCTTATCTCTACAACCAGTTTAACTTATGCGTCAGAGAGCAGAAAATCAACCAAATCACCTTGCTAAAGGTGATGACTTTTCTTGTTGTCAGGGCTCTAAACAACTAGAGTCAGGGCAAATCTTGTTTTATTTGTGGTTGCATCGGTTTTAAGTACAGAAAATGTCTAAAGTGTAAAAAAAGGGGGTTTCATATGGGTCTGACTCTAAACTTCAATTAATTTGCTGTATTTCATTGTTGTTTTATGAAGGATGTTATCTACAAAGTGAAGAGCACATTCAACAAAGAATTTGAGGCAGTTTACAAGCAGAAGGAGCAGGAAATCAACCGTGTCAGAGAGAAGATGAAGCGTATCTCTGATATTATGACTGAGCTGGACCTGAGTGAGACCCTGTGGGAGCCTAATCTCACCGATAATGAGTGTCCAGAGAGAGCTCTTATTGTGACCGACTCAGAGGTAACTCTGGCAGTCTGTATAGAAGATTTAAAATAATTCTAGGGTTAATCTAGGATTAATATTACATTTATTAGTCCAAGTCACCAGATGCAATGTCTGTCTACAGTATATACAGTAGTTGACCCATTTTATATTTTTTCAAATTGAAATACTTATATCACATACATGGCAAACACTGATTTATTATTGTGGACAGTGAGCCTGACAGGCGAATTAATGCGTGTTTCTAGATCAAGGTTGAGAAATACCTCACCCCCGAGCAGAGAGAAAAAGAAGAAAATCTAAGAGAAGAAGACAAACGGCAAATGCTTGCAGCCAAGGTATAACATTACTGTACCTCACAATAGGTGTGCTTTTAACAGTTAAACTTTATTTTCCCCTTATAACTCATGTTTAACACAACCATTTAATTTCATTTTAGTCTTATCAGTTTAATAATTTATCCAGTAATCAGTTTTTAATCTATTCATTATATATTCATATACAAATTCTTGATTTTATAAATTTATAGACTACCGTTCAGTACGATTTCTTTTTGAAATAAATAAATTAACACATTTATTCAGTAGAGAATTATCTTTTAAAAATCCTAAAAATATGTATTGTGGTTTTCACAAATATGAAGCAGCAACACTGATAATAAGAAATGATTTTTGAGCAGAAAATCACATTATTAGAATGATTTCTGAAGGATCATGTGACACTGAAGACTGGAGTCACAAAAATACATTTTATTTTAAAATATATTAAATATAAAACAGTCATTTAATTGTATTATTTCACAATATTCCTGTTTTACTGTATTTTTAATCAAATAAATGCAGGTCTGGTGAGCATAAGAGACTTAATTAAAAAAAAAAATCTTACCGACCCCAAACTTTTAAATAGTATAAACCATTAAACTGCAATCTGAAAACGCTTATATTTACAGATATTGTAACAATGCAGTGTGTTACTTGAATATTTCAGTATTCCAGTATATTAGATGATAATAACTGTTCTGCATTTCCATTGTAGTCTGACAAAATGAGAGATCAAGCGCTCAATGTAATGATGGGTGGAGTTCTGGAGCTTAAAAAAGAGGATGTGTTGAAGACGGTGAGATGGCAGAAATAATCTTATTGGAATGTATAAACTTATTTATCAAAAAGTACATGAAGGCAGGGGAAAATAACATTTAAGATATGCTTATTTCATAGGAAGTACCTCAGCCTGAGTTCATGTCTAAACCTGAAGTACAGTGGACAGAAGAAGAGAGAAAGAGCTTCAAAGAGTTTGAGAAAAAAGCAAAGGAGCTCAGAGAGGAGCAGGAGAAATACAGAAAAGTATGACTTTGATCACATTACATTTAAAAGGATCGTTCACACAAATTCTGTAGGTTTGCTTTGAATATGATTTTTTTAAACCACCATAGAAGGATCATAAAATGTACCCGTACAATGCTTATACTATATTACATATCATCTGAGGCCATTCAATATTATTCATTATTTCCAGTCAAGTTGCTACTTCAAAATCCATTCACAGTATATGCAAAAAACAATGGTCATTTGGCATCATTGGTGTCAAATCTGCATTTTTGGATAGCTATTTCTATATGCAATCACTCCCTTACATTTCAAATCTCTTTAAAACAAAGTCACTGTTTCCCTAGACACTGGAAACAGAAATGAAGAAACTACTGACATCTATTAAAGAGGCTACCCAGATGTTTGACGAAAGACTCACAAAGCTGTTTGAAAGGAAGGTGAAATCAGAGATGGTGATATACCAAGTAAGATGACACAATACATCATTACATTTTTGCATGTCACCTTTTCAGGGGCGTCCTGTGAACAAATAACATGACCTGCTAACAATGTTGTCATGTAACAGTAACTGCTCATGTACTACTATAGATTATTATTTTTTTATCCTTCAGGAGGAGCTCAAGATTGCAAATCTGGTTTACTCCATTCAAACCGAAGAAGAGATCCTCTGCAGAGAGAATCAGTTGAGCCTAAAACTTGAGAAAGCACGGATTGTAAAGGTGATCTTTATTTGTATGTTTTAGATATTCTGTCTTTTATCATTTATTCAGCCGTGCTGTTGTCTGTTTACCTTTATAACAACGTCAGAACTTGGCAGTTATTATTTGTTATTAGACAATTATAATGTTCCTGATGATGAGACAACAATTTCAGGCAAGAACATACTTGTGCTGCACTGTAATTCATTCCTGTGAGTCACCTCTCTTTCCTGACAGAATAAAATTGGGGAAGAACTGAAAAAATACAGGGAGACCGTTGATGAGTTTAGGGAGGTGTATGATAACACAGTCGCTGAGGACAAAGTAAGATTACGAAAACATCATACATATGCATGTCCATAATGTTCTCACCAAGAAAGTCATATTTTATAAACCCTTTTCCTTTTTTAAAAGCTTCTCGACAAAGGATTTCGCAAAGAGTTTTATGACATCCCTGGACATATAACTGACCAGCTCTATAAGCTTTACAAACGCAGACCAAGGTATTATTTCAGAGAAGTTGCAACTTCAATCATCCATATGCATAAGACAAGTGTTTGTCCAGTATTAATTACCTTTGAAAAGAATAAAAAAGCGTTGTTTGACAGGGGTCAGAAGATAAAAACTCAGACTGAAAACAACCCCTTTAAAGAGGGGGCGCTGTTAGGAACAGCATCATCTGATGGACTCTCTCTGATGATGAAGGCCATGGAAGAGTTGGATGCTCCAGAGAACATGCCGGAAGGATTAGATCCAGTCGTTTGGGAAAGATTTAGTCTGGCCAGACGGGCCAAAGTGGAAAGTGAACAAAAGGTGAGAATGGCTAGACATGATGTAAAGAAACTAAAAAAGTCCCCCAATTCTTAAGCTGATTTCCTCCTAATTCATAATCAAAAACTGTCTGAGAGGGGTTTTACGTTGACTCCTGTAGGTCAAACTAAAGGCACTGGCTCTGGCGGAGATGCAGGCTTTTCTTCAGAGGAGAACAGATGAGGATGAGAATGCTCAACTTGAAATCAAAAATCTCATTGATGAACTTAATGGGTGGGAAGAACAGTTCATTATATAAATGAAGGATATCACTGGAAATAAGTTGGGCAAATAATTGTACCTAATATTTTCTTAGCCTTTGTGAAGAGAAGAATAGATTTCGACTGGACAGTATGGTGCAGATCCTTCTACACCAAGGCCAGGTGGAAGTGGAGGCTGGCGACTTCATTGCAGACTACACCGATGCTCTGCTGATCCATCGCGAAGTAATTGAGGACCTGAACAGCACCATCAGGGTAAAGAGAATTACTAAGGAACATTGTCTGATAAATTCACAGATAACTTATCTGATTCTTTGTCAGTTTATGCAACTATTCAAACATTTCTTCATTAATAACTTGTAAACTGATTTATCAATCAGGCTTTAGGAGATCAGAAGATTGCCAGCATGGTGGAGTGTAAAGACTTCCGCAAAGGAATCATACAGCAGGAGTGGGATCACAGGAGAATGAGAATGAAGCTGGAAGATCTCAGCAACAAAGCCAGAGACATACAGACCCTGCGCATCACTCAGGAGATTCAAGATGTATGGATTTAATCTTTAGTCTTTCATTAGAAGTAATCTTGATTGAAAAAAAAATCTAGTAAAAATTGAAGAGGAATATGATTTAACAGATCTAAGACAAGAGGACACTATAGCTCAGGACTACCTTTGTCTGTGAAACTAATGATATAATATTAGAATTACTAATATTTGTTTCTTTGTATTTTTCTCATGTCAGTACCTGACTGAAACAAGTAATGACAACATGGTGTTAAAGCATCTCACAGCTCTGGAGAGGACTAGAGATTTCCAGGAAATGGTAAACTCGCTCATTACTTTCCAAGCACGTTGCAAAGATAATAATCATAGAGTAACTTTACATGCTTATTTCTCAGCACAGGCATTCCCCAGTTGTAAATTCAGTCTGGATGATGACATTAATCAAATTCAGTGGCAGATATACATCTTTTTTTTTCACTCTTGGCCTAGACTCATCAAAAGAAAATTGAGACTTGCAAGAAACAGATAAAGCACTTGAACAGACAACATGCACAAATGCAAGAGAAGAACGCTGCCCTCGACTTAAGAATAGCTGACATGGAGATAACTGTCACAGAGAGAGGAAATATTGTCGAGGCTGTTGGTAAATTACTTTATATCTTGCTACTTTAAAGAAAGTAACAATTTGTTTTTAGCAAAAATTGATTACTTGGTACAATTCAAAAGTTTGGGGTCAATACATTTCTTTTTTTGAAGAAGAAGAATTAATACTTTAATTAAATAAAACACATTAAACTGTATCACTGGACACATTAAATTGTATCAAAAGTAAAGAGACATTATTTTACAAAAGATTTATATTTAAAATTAATGTTCTTCTTTTGAACTTTCTATTCACCAAGAAATCCTGAGAAATGTAAAATCCACCAAATCAGCATATTAGAATGATTTTGGAAGTATCATGTGACACTGAAGACTGGAGTAATGATGCTGAAAATACAGCTTTTTCAATATTACTGTATTTTTGATATAATAAATGCAGCCTGGGTGAGCATAAGCACAAAAGACTTATTTCAAAGGCATTAAAAAATGACTGACCACAAACATTTGAACACTAGTGTAAATTAACCCATTGGATTACATTTTTTGCAATTTTTAAAAGATGCATGATTTGTACATTCTGTTCATGGTCAATGAAAAACGCCCAATTACTTTTGAGCCAAAACATCACTTTTTTTTATTTTCTGTTAACCAGCAATGGGAGATAGCAAGACGACAGAGGCAGAGAAGAACTACCAAGATATCATCTTGAGAAAGAAGCTGCTGAACACAGTCAGAGCACAATCTGAAGAGATACTCCAACTGAGAGCAGAGGTTGAGAAACTGCGTATGAAGAACTTCCCAGCTCTTTCTCAACGACATTACAACTGATTCAGGGTACATAACAGATTTATTATTTCAGCTTTTGATTGAAAAATAAATTTTTCAATAGACAGACATGACAACACAAAAAAAGTGTAATAAATTACAATACAGTTTAATAAACCTATCAAAATTCACACTGCAATGTTTTATCAATTCCACATATAATCTGTACATTTTCTCAATCCAAATGTTTTAATGAATAACCAGGTCTGAAATTACATGTTACAACCGGTTTAACAATGTGAAAAAAATTAATATAATGACTTTCAGGTGTCTGTGAATTCTTCCTCTGTCCTATCAAAGTGCAGTAACTTGTCATCTAACCCAAAGTTGTCTATAAGCTGAGACAGACTAGTTTGTTTTCCCTCTGTGGGTAATTCACTTTGTAAATCATACAGCACAGATTGAGCACAGGATCTCCATTTGTCTATGAGCATCTGGAGCCGGGTCAGATCATTCTATGGGGAATAACAGAGCAAAGGGAAAAACTTCAACAACACCATTCTTTGCTTATAGGTTAATGCCAATACTTCATTTAGATGTTTACCTTGTTTCTATACATCTGGACCATCTTTAATCTTCTCAAGGTTTCTGATCTCTCCTTCACTGCTTTTCTTAGCTCTTCATATTGCCGAATCGAGTCGTTTGGTGCAGTCTCAGCTGTGTGATCGTGTGAACAGTCTCTTTGCGCCCTCTTATCATTCTGATTGACATCAGTATCAGTCTCTCTTTCCTCAGTCACGCTGTGCTTTGTGTCTCCAGGTTGTTGTGAAGTATGTGGTTTATTGTTATCTTCAATTTTAAGCCGTTTAACCACACTGAGGGGGGACCTGAATGAATGTCGTGCTCTTTTTAACTTCTCCCTCAATGAGGCACTCATGGACTGAAGTAAAAAACAAAACAGGTATAAAAGTATGTCAACAGTTATTGTACAGAGCACCGTGATTTTGTGTGTGAAAAATAACAATGGTGTCGGTGAACAAGCTAACATTCGTTGCTAATGTTAGCTTCGTCTGAAACCAAATACTAGAAAACTTAAGCCAATAATCTGTAACTTACCGTGGTTACGCTGGACCTACTTGAAGAAGATTGGTCTGTATTCGGTGTAGTGTCATTAGCTGGCGTCTGTTTTATCGGGGTTGTCTCCATGATTGACATCATGTGAAATCGCTATGAAAAGGACAAAACGTCTACATAACTCCACAATGACAAAAATAACATACCAGTCTTGCTGGTGTCAAAATTCAGTCGAAAGTAACACTGTAAATCAGATTTTTTTTTCTTTTTTATCTGCAAAGTGATCAGTAAAGCAAATGTTTTGAAATTGGTGCAAGTGCCATTTACTTCGTTGTCATTTCCGGGCCATTATCAAGAATCATGGGAAATGTAGTCTAAAATAACTTTTATTAAATTTAATAATAAGCTACAAAAATGGACGAAATATGCATTTATTACATTTCTAGACTATTTCTTTTAGTATAAAATTGTTAGAATACAGCACCTCATATTTAATTTATTATTTTTAATTAACAAAATAAAAAATCTACAGTAGGCTAACGTTACTGTGCAAAAGACTTAGGCACACTAGTTTTTTCGCCTCAAAGAAATGGTTTTAAGCTAGTTATTTATATATTTTGCTGTAGTGTCTCAGTAGGAAATATCAGTTTATATTTCCATCAATTGTAATAATCCAGTGAAATTTTTGTATACACAAGGATTCTGACAACAGCCAATGCTCCACACGGAGGTCGGATCTCACCCCAGGTGAAAAAGACGTTGTATTAAATGTATTAAAAATATATTTGAAATACAAATAGTGTGTTTATAATACATTTGTATTTACAACATGCTTATTTAAAGTGTACTAAAAATTTATTTTATTGCATTTTAGTATATTTCTAAAAAGTATACTAGAAGTACATTGGTAATAAATATATATTTAATTACACTTTTAAGAAATGTACTATAGAAAAGCATACTTTTAATGTATTTATAAAAAGTATATTAGTAATATATTGGTAATAAATGTATGCTTTATTATATTTTTAATAAATATGCTAATGATAATTATACTTTAAATGTATTTCTAAAAAGTATATTAGAATTACATTGGTAATAAATATATGTTTAAATACACTTTTAAGAAATACACTATAGAAAAGCATACTTTTAATGTATTTCTAAAAAAGTATATTTTTAGTACATTGGTAATAAATGTATGCTTAATTATATTTTTAATAAATATTTTAATGACAATCATGCTTTAAATATGTTTCTAAAAAGTGTACTAGAAGTACATTGGTATTTAATTACATTTTTAAGAAATATGCTAAATACAAACATATTTTAATTATATTTAAAAATGTTTTACTAGAAACGCAATGCTAATAAATATACACTTAATTAAACTTTTAGAAATATGCTAAAAACAAACATAGTTTTAGTGAAATTTTAGTGTATTTACAGAAAGCATACTTGTTGCTAAATTAAAGTATTTTTGTGTTTACTTTGTGTGTATAGCAATTTGTAACCTTTTAACTTATTTAACCTTGTATAGGACTAGAGCAATATATTTTTAATATTTATGTTATACTGTAGCATGTGCTTCAGCCCTGCTTTAAAAAAAATATTGTGAAAAACAAATGAGACATATATATAAAGTTTAAAAATTACAAGTAATGCACTTCTATACTTCTGCATTAATTAATCAAATAGTCTTTTCCACAAAACAAGTGAATACCAGTACTTGCACACATCAACATAAAAGATCCGGTGTACATACTAGAAAAACAAAATAAATTTGTTAAAAGCTTGACTCTTACATTTGTTTAGCCAAAATGAATAAAAAAAACTGTTTATAAAGCATGTTATGTTTATATTAACAGAGTTGTTTCTTTTTTTGTGGCCGTTAGTTAGTTAGTTAGTTAGTATTTCCAGTTGCATTCATTTGGACCAATCAGAGCCAATCTTTTCAAAACAAGCTTGCCGGCAATTGTCCAATCACACACTGCCATTTGAACTTACATGTTGGGCGGGGCGCGGACAACGGATACTGACTGTCTGTGGTATTCCATTATAGCTTCGGTTCGGATATTTCAACAGAAATCATGTATTTTCCAAATTTTGCTTTGTTATTTCACTGACTCGGACCTAGTGAATGTGGATAGCACCGATCTAATATTGAGAGAACACACGAGCAGATTACCAGGTCGTCAGCTCCCGCGAACAATTTAGCAGTGAAGAGGACAACGCAGAGGTGCGCCGCCACGACATGGACAGAGCAAGATACTGCCAGAAAAGATCTTACTTCTTGGTGGTAAGTTTATTAGTTTAAGTGATTAGTATAATTGGCTTTATTCTCACTTTGGGTTTAGAAAATATTTTCAGAAGTTGATGACGATGTTCTGTGGTTTACTGGCGTTTCTGTTGATTTGACACTAAAGCGAGTTAACGTATCCATTGACGTCTATCAACTTAATTGTTATAGATCTAGACAGTGACATAAAACAACTATAAAAACATTGCACACTGTGTTTGAAGAAAAAAAGGTCATTACTGGTGATTACACGACAGGCTTGATTGTCCACAAGTAACTTCTTGTGTTTTAAATATTATACTATATTTTAAGCTCTAATAAAACTTTTGTGATATTTAATTCATAGTAAAATCGAATTAATTATTAGTAGGCTGTCAGTTTTCATGTCAATTCGATAAATAAATTAAGTTGTAATCACCAATAAGCTTTCACAAAACCAATTATTAAATATCTTGCACTGAGAAATTAAAACGATGTTAAATAATGAAATAAGATATTTTATATTTAATATTTAGCCTAGCCAAAGAATTTGCACATTGCAAAGACATTTTTTTTTATTAAACCTGTGAGTAGATGAGGTCAAGTCGAGTAAGTAGTAGTTGATCCTCTTGATTTGTAACTTTTTGTTGGTGAAAAACAACAAAAACAGTCAATAGTGTGTCATGTAGCAGCTAAGTAGCTAAGTGACCTATTATATATTAACACGTATTTGAAAAATTGCGTCCCCCGCATGAATATGTATTTTGCCTGATTATGCATTGAATTATGCAATTGCATAATCGTGTTTTTCTCGAGGGACTGATTTATATGATTTTATGTGTGGTATTCAGCTTTTTTACATTAATCAAGTCGTTATCAGCTGTCACCAACTTGTAACTTTCAATAGAATGTTCTGTTTTTATTAATAATGAATAATTACTTTAATAATAGCATGGAAGTTACAGTAATGGTTTATTAAATATGTTTTACCATTTAAACAAAATACAAATTATATATGAAGAACACAAACTAGTGTTTGTTCTGCCCTAACTTTGTATAACATGCGACTTTATTTTCTTGTAGAGCTTCCAGGGATATTATCATCTCTCAAAGAGGCCCTGGAGTCCATGAAACGAGGTTCATTCAGCTCAAGCCCAAGATCATCTGAGCTGTGTCTTCCTGAAACCTCAGAAATGGTAAGAAAATTCTTTATGATAAAGAAAAATCCTATTTGTTATAATAATTATATCTGACTTTTTGTGCATTAATACTTCAGTAAGTGTTCTGAATTAAGTAACAAAGTGACAGCTTTTTATTAGAATTATAAATGAACAAGTTTATACTAATGCTTGTTTTTTTTTTATTCTTGCCAGATTTCCCTCGGTGGTTCTGATGTCCCCAAAAGAGTCTATGGCAGACTGAACAAGTCACGAACTTCTCTTTTTACTCACGACTTGGCCACTTTACTTTTTGCTATTGTATTTCACTTTGTTTGACTTAAAGGAGTAGTTCACTTAAAAAAAAAAAAAAAAACTTTTGCTGATAACTTACCCACCCCCATGCCAAGATATCCATGTCATTCTTTCTTCAGTTGAAAAGAAATTAAGGTTTTTGATGAAAACATTTCAGGATTTTCTCCATATAATGGACTTCATTGGGAACCAAACGGTTTAAGGTCCAAAAGGCAGTTTCTGTGCAAACTGTTCAAAGGGCTTTAAACGATTCCAGACGATGAATAAGGGTCTTATCAAGCGAAACGATCGGTCATTTAAAAAAAAAAAAAAACAACGTTTAAGTTTTATAAGCTCAAATGGTCGCCATGCTCTGTTCTGTTATGCATGTTCATAACTCTCCTATTCAAACTCGTTCATCAAAATTAACAAATCTTTTTCTGAATCATTAGGTTCATTCAACGAACGAAATGAATGAATTGACTTGAAAAAAGATTTGTCAGGGCTGCCAACTCTCAAGCATTCAGCACGAGACTCGCAATTGAGCCAATTCTCATGCTTTCACGACAAATTGACTGTTAGCCATTGGACCTTGAACCGTTTTGTTCCCAGTGAAGTCCATTATATGGAGAAAAATCCTGGAATGTTTTCATCAAAAACCTTAATTCCTTTTCGACTGAAGAAAGAAAGACATGGACATCTTGGAAGACATGGGGGTGAGTAAATTATCAGCAAAAGTTTTTTTTTTAAAGTGAACTACTCCTTTCAGTTAGTTTATTTATTTATTTATTTTTTGTTCTGTTTAATACCTCTGCAAATCAATGCATTTTATGTTAATGTATTTTGTTTAGTTTTCATAATGCTTTACTGATGTAGTGCATTAAAGTTTATCTTTCAAAGAGTGTTTGTGTGTTTTGTAGAAATATTTTTTTACTGGGTTTTGTTGAATTAAAATGTTTAACTGTATTTTTAATACATTAAAATATATTATTTTTATATTAAATGGTTTTTGGAAAAATATATTTTTAATATGTTAATAGTGGGTCCTATAGTGTTCTAGAAATACATTATTAATAAGCTGAAATTATATTTAAAATATACATAGAACGCATTAATGTGAAGCTAAAATATACTAATGCTGTATTTCTAAAGTCGATTTAAAGTGTATTAAAATACACTTTAAATAAGTGCTATTATATTACATTAAATGTACTTAAAATGGTTCCATTTTAGCACAATTTAATATAATAAAATATATTACTATTACCTTAAAATTGAACTTAAATACATATTAAAGTACACTTAATATACTTGAAGTTGTTTCAATTTAGCACATTTAATACATATTTAATACGGTGCACTTAAAATACATTAAGTATATCAAAATAAGTACAATTTAAATACATTTCCTTTTCACCTGGTACCATCATCGAGTGCATCTGAGATTATATGAAGAAACAGAAAAAACAGAGACTAAGACCAGAAGAACTGCGGCAAAGTTTCCAAGATGCTTGAAAAAAACCTGCAAAACTAAAAACTATATGTTCAATACCTGGACAAAAGCTGTTTTAAACGTAGCCTAAAACACCTATTGATTTGATTTAGTTAATTGTAAAACGTTAATAATAGTTAACTAATAAAAGTGAATTGATATATAAAATCTATTAATGATTATGAAATTATTTTCGAAAACATTCTCATTTACAGCATTTTTACATAAGTGCCTCAAACTTTTCACAGTACTGTAGCTTTGCAGGCAGGTTTCTTCAAGTGTCTTAGAGACGTTGCCAGTTTTTCTGGATTTATTCTGTCTCAGTTTTTTCAGTTTCTTCATGTAATCCCAGACTGACTCGATGATGTATTTGACCACCGTGATGATCATTTACCAGCTGTTGTCAGATATAGTACATAAAGTACGAAAAGTAACACATGGTAAATCTAAACATGCCTTAAGCAGGTTAAAGGGACTAATAGGATTCCAGAGATGAATCAGAGATGAAATTGTTGACAGTTTGACTGAACCCAAAGCCTAAGTCAAAAAGAACGATGTTGAAATCAATGAATCAAACTCATGAATCCAAGTAATTATAGTTTATATAACAAACAGCATCATGTGCTCAAAAACATTAGGTAAATATCATGGATTCAAAGATTGGGGAAAAAAGGTATTTAAGGAACACATTTACAAAGAAAAACATCTAATTGCAAATGAAGATGATTACATGGTTCAGCTCATTCATGTTTTTTATTCAACCCCATGGCCGTTCTGCCTCTACTGAAATATTTTGTCTTGTTATAACTTGTGAAATGATAATTGTTTAATAGCTGTAGACTCATGCACTCTCACGTTTTCCCTATTTGTATTGGGTCTAATACACTGGTCAGAGAGAGAGAGAGAGAGAGAGAGAGAGAGAGATCCATTATCTTTCGTGACTCATGTGCATTTTGTATCATCAGGGTGTGGTCAGTGGGGAGAACACATCAATAGAAAAAGGTAAACCTCAAGAGAAGCAACACCTTTTTCCCTTGGGAAGCTTGTACATCCCTAAATTCCATTCCATTAGGAACATTTGCATTGTTCTGATGATTCACTGATGATAATAATAATAATAATGAATAATACTATTACATAACATTTATTGCATTTTGTCACAAAAAAAACCTTCCCATCATTGTATAGGATTGGCTAAAATGATATGCATGAACACGTGTAGATCTGCAAGGACAGGGAGTTAAACTCTTGCTGGAAATGAATGCCAGCAGTATCCTCATCTGACCCCATTTCAAATGTTCAGAAGCAGTTGAAAAATGCTCAGTAAAATGATTCTAGTAACGTTCCTGCTCCAACAATTTCATTAAAGACCAATGCTGTCTTTGAGGTATTTGAAAAGTATTTAAGATAGATTCCTAGGAAATGCATGAGTTGATCAAATATACTTGCTGTGTATGTTGGGGAAAAAAAATGTCTGTCAAATGTTTAATGCTTACTTTAAGGATAACACTGTGTTATCCTGTTATTAACACATGAGTAATAAAGGGCAAAGCATGACATTTTGAAGCCTGCTAAATGTAAGGTAGCCTATGTAATGTAATCAAATTCTTCATGACCTTATAACTTACAGAGAACATTATTTTACAGACTCTCAAATAAAACATGGGCTAAAATGAAAATGTTAGCTGACATTGAACAAAATGCATTTTCTGTTACGGTTACACTGTTATGCCAACAGTAGTAGATTAAAGCTAGTATTTTTTTTTATTTTATTTTTTTTAGGTAAAGTTACTGACACACACATAACACATCCAGCCACACCTGCATTCACCTGAACAACATGTCCTAAAGCTTTTGGAGGAACATAATGAAAATTGTCATTCCTGAGGGTATTGTCTCCTTTAAAATTCTGTATGTGTGTACCTGTCAAAAGACAGGGGAGTGGCTCCATATAAAATCCTACCCAGGAGTCATGTGGAGGCTTGCCTATCAAAGTAGAGAGAAAATCAGAAAGAAAGCGGCAGAAATCAGATAACAACATTCATTCTGCACAAGCGAAGTTCACAGATCGCTCATAAGTAGACTTGCTTTATCTAACATCCGACAACATTTTCTCTTCAGATTCTCAAGGATCGAAGGTAAAACACATTTACATCAAATATATTTATATTTTTTTTTACCACATAAAAGTAAAAGTATAAATTAACCATAATAGTTGTTTCATTTAGCCAATATGTAATTAATCTCATGGGGGGGAAATCCTTTTCTATTGATCTGTAATTATTATTTTCTTAGATGCAGATACTAAAATAATCTGTTGTTCATTATCTGTCCAGAGATAATTATAAACCATCTGTTGCTCACCTGAAATACTTGTTTATTTATAAATCCTGATGTGACCAATCAGAATTCTTTTGGTGTGGGGTTACACCTGACTTGAGACTGGAAACCAGATTAAAACAGTAGAAAGAAAAACACCTTTATAATTTTATTGATAAATAAGGGACCATTTCATTAATTATAGGCTATTTGTAAATGTTTATTTGTATTATTCTAATGTGGGAAAGAAGTTAGGCTAAACCCATAGCTGATTCTGAATTGAGTTCTGAAAAGCCGCATGGACAAATAAACGTATTATTTGTCTGGGGGCCCATTCACTGTTTAGCTTTTTCATATATTGTGGTTTGCATGGAAACAGTAGCTCTTGCATTTGAAACTGAAGATGTAAGGAGGGTGGGGTGGAGATGAATTGCTTTACTCTCTCCACTGTAAATATGAGACTAGTTGTCCTTGCAAGTCTTTTGTTGGAACAAGTAATTTTCCCTTAGGCAGTTCTTTTTGGTTAGATGCTTTAAAGTTAAAAACTGGGCTGTGCCATTTATAATTACTTTTTTGATATGGTCTGGAATGGTGTTCCATTCTTGCCTTGAAATCTAGTAGAATATGCCAAGAAAGAGAACAAAATCCTTTCGTATATCAGTGTGAACACTTTTTGCATTTCTTGTTAAAACTTATTTTGAAGAACATTTAATAACGTACAATAAAACTGTTATCATCATGTAAAGTTAAACGCAAATGATTTTGTCATTTCACATTGCAATACATCACGTTTAATTGAATAAATACTATGTTAATATTTAAGGAAGTTGGAGATATATGTTTTGCAGTTCTTTTGACTTTCTTGAAGCTCCATTAATTTGATATACAACTTTTAATTTACAGTGAAAACTGATTCTTCTTATCACACTGATTTGATCTGTACCGTTTTGCTACATTTATTTAGTATGGAATGGATGATTTAAGGCAGGAAAGAAACTATCCCGGAGGGAGTTCAGGAGACAGAGGTACGGATGCTTGATCACTCACTTTTGTTTTAGCCCTAAGTTGGAGTGTATTTAATTGCTGTGAATCTGCCCCAAAATAGTCTGTGAAGATCTTTTAATTCTGAACACTCCGCCATCTAGTGGTTCTGTAATGTTCCTAAGCTTGATTATTTCACTGATGACTGATGAAGTGGCACGTTTTATTCAGTGGTATTTATTTATACTGCTAAATGTTTTTGACTGTCAAAGCAAGAACTGTTCTCATTTATAAAACGTATTCTGAAAACACAGGATTCACTGAAACAATCTCTACTACAAGAATTACAGCCTTACCGCCACGTAAGTTATCCCCTCCCATATATATTCGTTGTGTTTTAATCACATTCAATGCCTTATTCCTTATTCAAGCGAATTTTCCTGTTTGTCATACTGTGAATGTAACTGCATCTTTTCAATTTGAGATAAAAGAGGACATTGCTGTATTTTATGGTGTTTTTTACCCTCAGGTGGCTTCAATGCATCCGCCAACAAGGGCATGTCAAGCACCTCCGGGTCTCCTGGCCTGGAGAAGAACATTTTGACTCAAAACAGCAGTTCTTTTTTCTCATCATGTAAGTCAATAAACCATTTGATATTTCAAATGTATATTAAACAAAGACAGAATAGACTTATAAATGTTCTAAGAATTTGTAAATGGCTAAACCTGTACCTGCTTCTGTGACTCAGCATCTGTGGGGGTGAGTGCAGATGGGTTAGGCTCTGGATCAAGGGAATATCTGATAGAGGAGTCATCTGTGAGCAAGAGTAAGAAGGCAGGTGGTACTTATGGAGGATTTGAGAGTGTCTCTGGATCTGGATCAGGATCTGGATCTGGATCAGGATCTGGATCTGGATCTGGATCTGGATCTGGATCAGGATCAGGATCAGGAACAAGGCTGGGGATGAGATCCAGCTCCACTGACGGCATGAGAAGAACACAAGACTCCCCATTGTTTCTGGAGAGGAAAAGCAAAACCACTCATTCACGTCGTTATGATGGTTAGTCACAGCTGAGAAACCTTGAATAAATAAACTAAATCATTTTTGTTTGTCCTTCATTATACTAGCATGTAATCATTTTTTTTAAACTCCAGGAAGCTCAAGTGAAAACTCATCCCCAGAGATCACAAGAAAAGACTACAGTAAGACCCTCAGTCACATTAAAAGGATTAACAAGATTTTTATGTGATTGAGACTAGAAATATCAGCTTTTGTTTCATTGCTCGGTTTCCAGGTTCAAGAGGAAGGAGTCAAAGCAGGGGTGAGATTATTTACACTAATGCAAATACATAAATTACTCTGCATGGTCATCCAGTCAAGTACTGTTATCCCATCACGTTTTTGCTTTCAAAAGGCCAATTGTATAAAACCCTGCCCACCACAGATATAATTCACAGGGAGTATTTCTGATTGGCTAAAAATGGTGGTCCACTTCCCAGACAATACAATTGCAAACAATATTGCACCTAAAATAACCAATTACCGGATCATTAAAACATCAAGGAAAAAGCAAGTTCAGCAAGTGCCAGGACAGTCTCCTCCTGAGGAGTTGGATATATGGAATTGTGTCACCAACAGTGTAGACCTTGCTCAATATTGGCAGGAGATGGGTATGAGTGCATCTGCACGCACAGTGACGCCAAGACTTTTGGACAACAGCCTGGTATCAAAAAGGGCAGCAAAGAAGCCACTTCTCTCCAAGAAATAAATCAAGGATGGACATTCTGCAGAAAGAAGCTGATGAATGGTGCAAGAAGACTGATACAAAGTTATTTTCTTTTATGAAACTCCCTTCTGACTGTTTGGGACATCTGGAAAAACGATTGTCCAGATAAGAAAAGGTGGACGCCACCATGTGCCAACAGTGAAGGATGCTGAGACCATCCATGTGTGCTTTTTATCCAAGCAAGAGAGCTCTGAATAAAGAATGGTATCAAAACATTCACATATCGCTTCTCCAATTCAACAATTTGGTGGTGATCCATGCATTTTCCATTGAAATTTTGGATTCATGGCCAGGCCATCTTAATCCCATAAAGAACCTGTGGTCAATCCTCTAATGGCAAGAGGACAAGCAGAAGCCCACAAATTGTAATCAACTCCACGCACTAATAAGGCAAGAATGGATCGCCATCAGGATTTGGCCCAGAAGCAGATATTTATTATTCTATAGTGAACTGCAGAGGTTATGGAGAAGAAGGGTCAACAACAGCATAAATTGAATTTTTTTTTCTTCAATAAAAGCCTTGTTTATCAATGTTGTCCAGTATAGAAACATTTTAAAAATTATCTACAAATACTGAAACAGCAAACTTTACAAAACACAAAATTTGTCACTGCCAATACTTTTGGCCATGACTGTGTATTTATTCATTTGAAAGGTAGCAGTCTAATAAGCTTTATAGTGTAATTTTCAGGTGTCATTGTCATAAAATAAACACTGAAGGACACCGGCACGATGTTCAATGTGTCTCAACACTTGGTTCGTGATCAGTTTCATGATCATTACTGATCAGTTACATATATTAAATATACAGTATGTGCTAAATGTATGCATTAGTGTTGAAATAATGACATGCTCAAAATTCAAACTGTTTTCTCTCTATCACTATTATTATCTCTCTTTAGAGACGGAAATCAGGACCAGACTGCAAAGTGCATCTCCCTCCACTAGATGTATGTTGTCTATTTCTCTTTAATTCAATTATTTCAGGAAATTAAATAATTAAAAGACATTGTGTGATTTTTACCCCCATCTAGCGGTGAAAAGATATATGACCATCCAGTGAATATTAGTTTCTGTTCCTCTCAATTCCGATTTCGTTTTAACTCCTACGGTGGCCAATGTAGTCCAAGATTAACATGGCTTCCAGTTCGACCTCGTCCGTGAGTGTTAACTCAAACGTAAACGCGAAAGGCGAAGCTGGAATTAACGGGTAGGCTATGTCCCTCTTTGGCTAATGTACGTTACTTTCAAGATGGAGGGGCAACATGGCGACCGACTTTAGAACCCCTTACCCGCATGTACTTTCAATGGCATATTACACACTCACGAGAATACTTTATTACTTGAACGAACTAAATATACATTAATGAGTACATATATTTTTGAAAGAACTGAGTTTTTTTTAGATAAGTATAAACTAAAAGAGTTACACAGTGTAGATTTAAACTGCATTAAAAAACTAAAAGTGAAATGAAACTATCTTTTTCACAGATGCTCAAGGAAAAAGCTCAGAAAATTATTTGTTTTGTTCAACACCTGAGAGAGTGAAAGTAAAAAAGGCATGTTTAGTCATGAAGTTGTGATTAATACAGTGCTGTTGTTATAGGGACTGAGCTGGATGATGTAAAGAAGCTGTTGAAGGGGTCGCGCTCCGCCAGCGTCAGCCCCACACGCTCTCCCTCCTCCTCCCCTCTTCCGATACCTCGCAAGGCCACCACCTTAGACACCAAGATATCCACCAAGCAAGGTAGGGAAAGCTCAGGCTGATGGCAGATAGTAAAGCTCGATTAAACCGCAAGATATCATTGTATTTAACACTCCTACCACACATATGGTGTGCAGAGCCCATTTATTTTCAAAACCCAAATTCCCCAGTTCATCTGTGCATAGATCTTGTGCTCATTGCCAAAGCGTTAAGACCTCCTTTCAATTTTCTCAGTCGAGCAATATGACAGCACTATTCTTGACGCTGACCTTGCCTCGTACACATGGAACTCCTCACTGCCCTCGACAGTTTCCACTGGACCTGGTGCTGCTTACGGCTTCCACCACAACACCAACAACATGTCAACGGGAGCTTCGCTTGTCAGCAGCACATCACCATCCTCCTTATCAGGTCTGCATCATTGATCACTGTTGACCTGATAATATAGAGAATTGAGCAAGTCATTCATCTAGTAATTGATTGAGGCAAACTTTGAAAATGAATGTGTAAATCCGTCAATATCACAGATTTGAAATTATTATTTTCAGGGGTGATTATAAATAAAACTGTGAACATATTAAAACTTTCAACTGAAAACACAGTCCTCTAACAGACATACAATGGTATTTTTTTATATACATTTTATGTACAAATACATGTTTGTTTTTTTCTTGACTTACAGTGTATGGCTTCCACAACAATTTAGCTCCTGCTAGTGGAGTTCTAACATCGAGTGGAGTTAACACAGTTTCAGGTATTGTCTGGGGCATATAATATTAAATAATTGTAAATGACATTAGAAGACAATAACATTCCTTGTAAGCATGTTTATTTGTTTGTGTGTATTTTTAGGATATGGAGTGCAGAAGAATTATTCAACAAGTCCCAACAGCACTTTTGCTGTTAGCACAGGGGTCTCCACTGCAGGTATTTGTTATATTTATATTCTGTACAACAGGGCTCAACAATAACAATGGCAGGGTCAATGTGAGACAGTTTTGGGGTAGATGATTGAATCGTCAATTGCTCTGTTATGCCAATGCTGGATTGATTGTCAGTGTATTTTGCATTTAATAACCTGAGTTTTTCCACTGTTTTTTATAAACAAAACATGTGTTTATTAATTTTAGTTGGATTATTTAAAGAGATATTTTTCCTAAAGCCGAAACCTCACATATGATTTGTTTTGAGTAAATCCTAACATTTTATGAAATTTATAAATATAATTTATGTAAACATACACAACCTTTCAAAATGCTGGGCCCTGGGGTCAGTTATAGGGGTCTTACTTGTCTTTTGTTCACCAAGGCTGCATTTGTTTGTTAAAAACACAGTAAAACAGTAATATTTTTAAATATTATCACAATTTAAATGAACTATTTTATGTTAAATGCAGAGGTGGACAAAGTACACAGCTTCCTACTCGAGTGAAAGTACAAGTCAAATTTTACTCTGTTACAAGTAGAAGTTGTAAAGACCAATTGTTACTTAAGTAAAAGTACCGAAGTACTTGTTTTTAAAAGTACTGAAGTATAAAAAGTAAAAAAATGAAATGCAGGTAAATGTACTTATCTTTGTTACTGTCCACTTCTGGTTATATGTATTTCATTCCTGTGATGGCGAAGCTGAATTTTCAGCGACCATTAGCCTACTCCAGTCTTCAGAGACATGATTCTTCAGAAATCATTCTTAAAAAAAAAAAAACTAAAAAAAACTTTTGATCAATTTAATATGTTTTAATTTAGTCAGAACACCTACAAATCATTGTAATCATTGTTTAAACAGGGACACCGCATCCTTTATTCATAAAAGAGGTAGCAAAGAGATACTTGACATATGAACATGATTATTTATTTGTTTATGTGTGTATTTATAGGATATGGTGTGCAGAAGAATTATTCCTCAAGTCCCAACAGCACTTTTGCCGTTAGCACAGGCGTCTCCACAGCAGGTGGTTGTTATAGTCACTCAGTAAAGGATTTATAGTTACTGAAGTTCTCAAAAGAGGTAGCGGGATTGTCACATACTAAACAAGAAGACTTGGTGTCCATTTAGGAACTGGTACAAGGACCCTTAATGAGAATGTGTCAAAGAGATACCTGACGCTGGAGAAGGAGAACATTCCAGCGAAGAGAGACACTGATGAACTTATTCTGACCAAAGACAGTGGCAAACACTTTACCAACAGCGCCCCCAATGGGACAGCAGGTAAACACAGGACTGAATGTTGTGTTCGATGTTTTAGAGATTAATAGTTCACCCAAAAAAAGGAAAATTTCTCCTGTTAAACACAAAAATAACATATTTTAAAGAATGAAGGGAACCAGACTGTTGACGGCACCCATTGAATTCCATAGTAGTTTTCTTCCTACTATGGAAGTCAATGGCTAGGCCTACTGTCAATTGGCTTTATGCCCAGCTGCACTACTTCCTGAACTTCAGCCAGCTTCTTGTTTCCTGTCTGCCATTATTTGACAAATTGATTGATTCAGGTGTGCCTGACCTCAGTAGTCATGGCAACAATAATCAGACACACCTGAATTAATCAAGTTTGCCCAAGAATGGCAGACAGGAAACAAACCATTGTCTGTTTATACTGACATTCTTTAAAATATTTTTTTTTTCAACTGTAAACTTACACATGTTTGGAACAACATGTGGGTGAGTAAATGATGACTAAATTGTAATTTTTGGGTTAACTATCCCTTAAAGTGATTTAAAATACAAAATGATTAATGTGTTGATACTCTAACACTACATATTGATTAACTTGATTGATTTTAAAGGCTCATATTCAGATGTGTCAGTGAAGAAGGAAACTTTGGTGACCAGCTATTCTGAAAGCGTTCCTGTGAAGTCTAGCTCTGGCGCACATTGTAAGGGACTTAATTTTGATGTATCATCATGATATTGTTTTAATATAAAATTAATGTGTTTTTTAAAAAATGTTTACCCCCCTTCAAGATGTGACTTCAGTGTCAACAAAAGATAAAGCTACGTATGCAGGTAAAACTTTTTATTTGAGAAACTATTGCACACAACACAGTCAATGTATAAAACTGGGACTCACCTTGATATTCTCTTGAAATTTGCGTTCTGTCAGAGATACAAAAGGCTAAGCTTGAGGATGAGGATGACTGTAAGTGCGGAGGGGGTCTCTGTGGATGTGGGCCAAACTGCTGTTCCTGGTGGAAGTGGCTGCTGGGTTTTCTGCTCAGCCTCCTGCTTCTCCTCGGCCTTCTGTTTGGACTCATTGCTCTATGTAAGATTTGAATGTCTAGACTAGAAACATATGTGCTGTTGCATATAGTCTTCTAATCTGTTGCTAATCTCTTTTCCTTGAAGCTGAGGAGGTAAAGAAACTAAAGTCTCGTGTCAGCACTCTTGAGGGAATATCTTCCTCCATGAATGCCCGCACAAGTCGCCTGTCTGCTCCCATTGATGACATGGACATATATAAAGATGCAGGAAGTAAAGCAGCATATGCTAATTCACTGGATTCTGCAGTTTATTCAGACAGTTCTGTACTGCAGAGAAATGTACAACAAATACTGAGAGCAGAGCTGCAGTCTGAAGCAATGAAAGGTACAAGTGAAAACAGTTCTGCTCAAACACGCATGAAAAACATACATTTTATAGAATGGATATATATGTTTAAGCATATATTTAATTATTAAATAAATTTATATGCAAACACAATACTTATGCATTTTTTGTGTGTGTATCTAGCCTTCCTTGCTTCTTCAGTTAAAGCTGAAAGAGGACTTCCAGGGCCAAAAGGTACATCAGATATTCTGTTTTTACTGAGCAGCACACATTACAGCAAACAGAGTGTGTGACTTCTATTGAGATTTAATAGAAAGCAACCTGATTTCCTATCACTACCACAATTTCACCTTTACTCTTTTCACCACTTTCAGGTGACAATGGATCTCCAGGGACGAGGGGTTTGTACAGTTTTAAAATCAATTATGCTATTTGTGTATTCAATTAACTTTTTATCTGTTTATATTGATATACGTACAGCTGTAAAAGTGTTTTTTTTACTAACCTGTTTTTCAGGAGACAATGGTTTTCCAGGGCTGCCAGGTAAGAACAATACTTATTGTAGAACTAAAGTCTTAACAGTTGTGCAGCAATTTATAGGCTATATATTTGTATCTGTAGGTCCAGCAGGAATGCCAGGAAATCCAGGAAGGGAAGGACAAAAAGGGGCAAAAGGAAGTGCAGGTACATGAAACGTTACAAAATGGTTTTTTTTTCTGGAAAAACTATCACAATCATCCATTCTGTTTAAATCTACAATTACCCAAAAACTTAAGGCTTAGAGGTTCAGATTTAGATGCAGTCCATAAATGCTGAAGTTCTGTTAATGCCACCTTTTCTGGAAAAAAATAAAATAAAAAATAATGGACCTTTTCTGATGTTGCTTCATGGAAACTTGTATGCTAAAGTTGTAAACTAAAATGTATGTGACAGGTGAACATGGTGCAGAAGGACCTCCCGGATTCAGGGGAAGAGATGGTCAACCTGGACCCCGTGGAGACCCAGGACCTCCTGGAGCAGGAGAGAAGGGTGAAAGGGGTAAGATACTGCATGTTTTGAGAATTTGGCCCTTGAAACAAAATCTTAGCATTTAATTCTTAGTAAACATAATTTAATACTATGAATTATTTACAATGTGTTCGGGTATCTGTTCGTTCTCTAGGTCTTCCTGGCTCTCCTGGTCAAGTTGGTGCACCTGGGCCTAAAGGTCAATACAAAACACAATTTACATAATTATTTTTATTGTTGTTGTTTTCATTTGGGTTATAAAAGCTGATACAGTTGTGCCAATGCATTGACATGTAAATATCTTATATATGAAAATAATAGCCTCCATGTTTGCACTCAGGTCTAAGTTCCATGGCCCTCTATCAGAATCCAGAGTTTCAAGAAGATCAGAGAAACTCAAAATTTCGAGGGGTAAACTCAGTGTTACCCCTGTCGTTTTTTGTTGTTTTTTTGTGCGAAAAAATAAGTTTCTCCAGTCTTCTTGAAACTCTGGATTCTGATAGAGGTCCATGGGACTTAGACCTGAGTGCAAAAATGGAGGCTACATGGCAACCAAACATCACTGGTGAGACAAAGGTGCAACGAACGGACGGCCAGATTATGTTTTGGCAGGGGAAAAAACTGATCAGAAAATGTAATGAATGTAGTGGAGTAGAAAGTATAATAATTGCTGCAAAATGTAACGAAGTAAATGTAAAAAAGTATGCGCTATTTATTCTACTTAAGTAAAGTAAAGATACGTGAAAAATGTACTTAAGTAAAGTAACAAAGTATTTGTACTTCGTTACATTCCACCACTGTATATACATGCTTAGCCTACCTAATCATTAAGTAGGCATGCGTTTGATCTTTGTTTTCTTGTTGTCTGTTTTTTAACAGGTGCTAGTGGTTTACATGGTAATCAACTCTTTCTTTGAACTATTTTAGTGGCATTGTGTATTTGTTTTCATCTTATAATGACATTACAAATGAAAAACACTTTTTGTGCAGGTGAACAAGGCCCTCAAGGCTTCAGAGGTGAACCTGGCACTGTTGGACCTAAAGGTGTGTTGCATGATTTTTTACAAAGCAATAGGCCTAAATAAAATCGTAATGTTTATAGATTTTTTTTTAACAAATTCTTTACAGGTGATAGAGGACTTCCTGGTCCACCTGGTAGTAAAGGTTTGTAACCAATTATATGCCAGCCTAACATTACCAATGGATTAATGAAGTCAATGTGAATTCAAGTAAAATGATGTGTGTGTTGTATCAGGTGATCATGGTGATATAGGAGTCAATGGATTGCCGGGTATGTATGTTTAGACTGAGCCGTATCAAAGAACGTAATTCATTTGAGCCATGTTCACAAATATTTGATTCAGATCACTTTACCCTTCAACAGGTATTCCTGGTGCTGCAGGACGACAGGGACCAGCGGGTGAGAAAGGAGCTAAAGGAGAACCAGGTAATTCTTTTTTGCCATTTTATTATTAGAACACCTAAAGAACAGCCATAGGAAGTGATATGAAGAAAAGTGTGGATTGGGACTGTAAAAGGTTTTTCATGGATTGCCTGCATATACTGTATAAGTACTACCATGCGTAGAGTCCGACATGTAACATCTGACAGAGCTGGATTTCTTATCGTCAAGTCTCTAAAAACATTATTGCATTTTCATTATGTGGGAGCAAGTGAGAGTGCAAGCTTTAGAAATTACACTACCATTCAAAAGTTTGTGGTTTGGGATACTACATTTTACATAAGATACCAAAATAGTACCAACCCCAAACATTTGTTTAAACGGTAGTGTAAATAAAGTCTGTCTCAAATAGTTAGAAAAGGAAATCCACGAAAAATGTCCAGAAATTGTTTGTGATAATTATTTGTTATTTAAAGCGACCCCCCCCCCCCCAAATAATATCACATAATATCGTATAATCTTATAATGTATATTTACACTCAGTTTCATGGCACAGATTAAAGCCCTTTTAATGCAAATCTTGTATTGGTGTAAAATAAGTCCACAGACAGTAATTCTGTCATTTCATACTAGGGCCTCAAGGAGCTGATGGTGAAAAGGGCCAGAGAGGTGAGAGTGGCATTTTCAGAATTTGATGATTTGTTACTAATAATGCTTTTCAATCTGCAAATTTATTTTAATCTGCATTGTGTTTCATTTTGTTAATATCTAGGTGAGTCAGGCTCAATTGGCTTGCCAGGAATCAGAGGACCGCCTGGGCCACACGGTGATTCTGGACAACCAGGTATAAAAGCTTGTCGAAAAACATGATCCTCATTCTTAGCAAATTATCTGAAGCAACATAGGTTTTAGCATAGTGGTTATAGCACAGTTCCCATCATTCACCATGTGATAATTATCTTATAAACTAAAATGTCTAAAATTTGATTATTTTTCTACTGTTCTTTTTGAACCAGGGATTCAAGGACCTCCAGGTAACTTGTCACTTAAACTACATTATATTCTCTACCCAAGATATGCTTTTTATTTTTGTGCAATTAAGATTGTTATAATATTTCTCAACTATGTATGAAGCTATAATTGTGATCATTGTTTGTTTTCATTTGTCATCATAGGCCTACCTGGCAATCCTGGTCAGCCTGGAGCTAAAGGTGCTTGTGTGAGAACATCAGTATTAGTGAAATAGACAATAGGATCAATGTTTAGCTGCAATGTATATTTTGTTTTATTATTAGCATTATATAGGTACAACTATGCATATCAATGCCCTGATAATAATCTTAAAATGTTCACAGGTGAGACTGGTGCGGCTGGAAGAGTGATCAATGCAGGTAAGATTAAGTGAAGCATTAAAACACATTTAACAGGCCACTGCACACTGTATGAACATGAACATGAATGTGAATTGTGAGTAAATCTGAAGTGAAAAACTGCTTGATTTTGCAGCAGGTTCTAGCTCAGTGGCAATCCCAGGACCGCCTGGAAGCCCCGGTCCTCCTGGCCCACCTGGCTCACCAGGACTCTCAGGTATGCTCATAATCAAAAACTGTTGAAAATAACCAAACAAAACCCAGATTAAATGAACCAAATCAAAATACCTTCCGCCTATTAACCAGTAGGAACGTTTATTGATTAAACACATTTTAGATATTATTAAAAATGACAACTTGCCTGCCATTTTACATACATAAATTTGTGTTTATTTAAAAAAAATACACAGAATGACATACTTGAATTATTCACATTGTTTAGATACAGCTACATATTTATAATGTGACTTTATGATACATTTGTTTTGTAATGCTAGGTCCCGTTGGCCCAGCTGGACATCCTGGTCAGCCTGGTAAAATTGCATTTTGTATCTGGCTTTGCTATTTAATATTGTATATGAGTAAAATATTAATTATTATCAAATGACTTTCCATGCATCCACCTTGATTTTTGTGCAGGTCTTAAAGGTGATAAGGGAGATCAAGGAGAACCGGGTATTGCTGTGAACACTGGTGAGACTTTGGTTTCAACGCGTGCAGAAAGTAAGTCTTTATTTTAGCCATCTAATTGAATAATAATTAGCTTATAGAAATGCATTAACTTAATGCTTGCATGTCTGTCATTTTTAGGACAGTATGGGGCTGCAAACGTCGCTGTTACTGGACCACCTGGTCCTCCTGGTCCCCCAGGGCCTCCTGGACGTCCAGGTAAAGTAACATTATCCATGAAACAAAAAACAAATGTATTTATTTTTTTGCCACATTAATTCATGTTCCCCCGCTGGCTTAGGACTGACATTAAATGTTTAAATGTTGTTGAAATAATGTCAGTTTTAACGTCAAAACAACGTTAGTTGAAGTGGTGTTGTTAACTCAATATGGATTCAACATAGAAATATAGAACTTTTTTGAGTTGTATGTCAAATTGTAGGCCACAACCTAAATAGTGACTCAATGTTAAAATGCCAGCTGGGTTATGAAGTGAACTTCAAGTTCATTAAATGTTTAAGTTATGGATATGGCAACCAGTGTTTAAAAAACAATTTTAGATGTTCATTTTTAATCTCCAATAGGAGATACCAGAGCAGGTCCGCCGGGACCACCAGGTTTACCAGGCTCAGCAGGTAAGATGACATGAAGCAGTACTTGCACAAAATATGACATCTTTAATTGTTTGTCCAATTGTACATCTCACTCTACTACTAACTCATAATCTGTAATGGCATACTTTTCTCAACTCTTCTGTTACTGTGTAATAGGATATGGCAGACCCGGTCCTAAAGGAGACAAGGGAGATCCAGGAAACTTTGTGCCTAATTCAGGTTGGATTACAGCATATGCCTGGTATTATATATTATTGTAATGATATTGTGGTTCTTGAAGTCTTACAGCTTTACAAATGCTGCCTACACAGGAACGTTTTTTGCAGGACCACCAGGGCCACCAGGACCCACAGGGCCTAAAGGAGCAACAGGTGAGTCTTATCTACATCTGCAGTTTTGTTGATTTTTAGTACTTTTCTTCCAATTTATCGTCAATGAAAACACCATGAATGTGAAATGTGATGTCAGAGAGTAGTTTAACTATTATCAGATATCTAATGATATATATATATGTAAACTTCAGGTGCCCAAGGTCCACGAGGATATCAAGGTAAGAGTTTCTTCTCCAACTAATTCTAATATGGGTCACAAGAATTAATATGAACCATAAATCACACAAAATACTCAGATGGATCACCACATGCCTTATAATAGTGCTTTGTTTGCCATTTGTGATATTTTTTTTTAGGGGAATCAGGTCAGCCTGGCCTTCCAGGGAGTCCAGGTAGAGTTGGTAAGTTATTTTGTTTCTGTTGACAGATTCATTAACATGAACACTCAAAGCAACATATTAAGTCAATAATGAGTCATTTATAATTATATTTTGTGTGCCTGTGTTTAGTTGGTTTATGGCACTCAGCCTCAACAATATTTAAGCTGCAGTTAATTGAAATATTGTAAATACCGATTATAAAACATCTGACACAAAGAGGAACAGTTTTTAAGTGTTCATAAAAGCTATAATAAATATTGAAATAATCTTTATTCTCTTTAGTCTCTGAGTACGGTGTCGCCCAAGGGCCACCTGGACCTCCAGGGCCTCCTGGACCGCCTGGACGAGAGGGCCGTAAAGGTAAATAACTTGAATAATGATCAGACATTGTATTCAGGTAAATTAATATCTGCAGTACAATCATTTTTAAAATGATTTCTCAGGGGATCCTGGAGTACCAGGTTTATCAGCATCACAAGGAGAGTCAAGAGGTAAATCTTAGTATGATGTACTGGATATGTATTGACGGAATAGTTCACCCCAAAATTGAAATGTTGTCATCAATTACTCACCCTCATGTCATTTCAAACCCATAAACGTTTATTCATCTTCAAAACACAAATTTGGATTGTATTTTTACTTTTGGTTGAACTAATCCTTTAAGCTATTGTCTTAACCAGTCTTTACCTCTTTAGTGAAAAAAATTGTAACTGAGCATTTTGTTTGTACCATATTCATTAATATAAACTTTAAAAAGTTGAATACCTCAGTGTGGTATACGTCATTTTGACCCACTTAAGCTGTTTGAGAATAACACTGACCTCCAGCATTATTAATATTATTATATTAGTACTGTAGATGAGTTTCGCATAGCAAAACAATGCCATAACTCTCTATATCACTACTCATTGTCATTAGTCTCGGTATCAGGAGCAGTTGCAGTCGGGCCCCCGGGGCGGCCTGGTCCTCCAGGACCTCCTGGTCCACCCGGTGCTACAGGTCATTCCGGTGGATCCCATTTCGCCTCAGACTATCGCCGTTACATCGCGGAATATATGCAAAGTGAGTATCTGTTTATTTGGATGATCACATTCCTTCTCCTGAAGGTCATTTCCTCATGAATGTGTCATGTTCTTTCCATAGGTGACAGCATGAGGCAGCATTTGTCTAGTATTCAAGGATTACCAGGTCCACAAGGTCCACCGGGTCCACCTGGAGCTTCAGTGTCTGTAGAGGACATTGCATCTAGGGTCATCGCTTACATTCAGCGTAAGTTAAGATGTAATCTGTGTTTAAAATGTATTTCTGTCTCCTGCTGCATTTATAGTCATGTACTTTTGTTTCAGGCTCTGGAATCAGTGGTAGCAGTATTAGCCAAGGTGCTCAAGGTCCTCCAGGACTTCCTGGCCCTCCTGGCCCACCTGGAAGTATAACTGCTGACTACATCATTTCCCTTTTACAGAGTGAGTAAATCATATCAGATCCACTAAACAGCCTTTTGAGTCATGAATCTGAGAACTGACCCAGTGACTTTCTTGTGCTCAGGAGAAGATGTGAGGCGTTATGTGGTTGGCCCTCCAGGACCACCGGGTTCACCAGGGATTAGTGCTAGTACCTTTAATGCACAGGAAGTGGCAAACTATGCTATCAGAATAATGAATGGTGTGTCTTCAACCCGAATTCTATGTTAAATCTGCAATAGATTGAATTTTGTCCCAGACAGCAACATGGGCCCAGATCCGGCCCACATCTGGTACAGGTGGAATCAATGTACCAGATGTGGGCCAGATCTGGGCCGACATTATTTTGTTGTCTGGGGTAAGTCCAATGTCATTTGTGAATTTGTTTTAGATCAGGGGATGACAGGCAGACCTGGACCACCAGGACCTCCTGGCCCACCTGGCCAAGCAGGTGCTACCTACAGCGACATAACAGCTCTTATTCAGAGTATGTGATTCTTTTTAAAATGGCCTTTTTAATTTTTCAAAATAATTTTTTATTATGTGTTTTATAACTTCCCCTTGAATGTGTTTGAAGGGTCAGGGCTTGGGGCAGGCGTTGGACGTCCAGGACCCCCTGGTCCTCAAGGAATACAGGGACCCCCTGGTCCGCCTGGTGCCACAGGAGGCAGCTCCTCGGCACTCTCGGGTTACAAACTGGAGGACATCCAGCTCTACCTTCAGAGTGAGTTTTTGACGGTTTACACTTATGTTTAATGCTGTCTTCTTGTAGACAAAAACGCATCTTAATCCCAGGTGTAAATAGATCCTTATATATACCTGCCATGTTTCAAAAATCTTTGTGATTCTGTGGTATTTAGAGTCTGGTTTTAGGGGACCTCCTGGTCCACCAGGACCCCAGGGTCCTCCAGGTGACACTAGGGGCCTTGTATCATATTCAGGATCTTCTGCGCGAGAACAGATCCGTGCTGAGCTGCAGGATTACTTGAACAGTGAGTGTCACTCACCACATGCTCTAATCCAGAAACTGACACCTCAGTGTAACTTTACATTGGACACATTCACTCAGTGGATGTCTGACTGATTTAACAAGTGATCTCACTCCATTCTAGATTCTGAAAGTTGAATGCATGATTTGTTGAACTCCTAGATTTATGTCACCAGTTTCTGCAAACACTTTTACCACATCAATAAAAAATTTTTTTTTTCAGGTGACACTATGAGGCGCTATGTTCAGAGTCCCCCTGGTCCTCCTGGACCCCCTGGCCAGAAGGGTGAACGTGGTGACCCCGGACACAGTTATCAGAATGCCAGAAGCCAACAACGCTTTGGCACTGAGATCAGTGAACCAGTGGACTACTCCAATGTTGCAATAAAAGTAACTGATTACATTAAAAGTGAGTACAGTATCATTCAAGTGAATCAAGTCCATGCACCACACCACCATTATATTCATAATGAAGCTATAAAAGTAACTGAAATTTTTGTTTCTGAAAGAAATATCCACACATACAATGCATCAAAAGAATAGAGTAATAATTTTAGCTAAGTGTTGTTCACAAGTGCTCATATTTAGCCCAAAACAAGTGACTGTCTTTCAAGTAAGCCATTGAATCATAAATTTAGGTGATTTGTTCTATTCGTACTTCTTTATTATTTAAAAAGTATGTTCCATTCAGTATGAATGTAATTCAGATCTTCTTTATTTGTCATGTGACCTATCAGTGCCACTTCACTGCCATTTACAAATCCCATCCCATGGCCTTATGGGATAGTGAATTGTCCATTGGATGCACACTTCAGAATATCTACCAATGCAAGGCTGTAACTATGGGCCTTATTTATGAAAGTACTACACACAAATTCATTCATTTTTGCAGCAACATTCATTTTTATAAAATGAAAACATATGCCTAAGTAGTTGCAGGGATGCTGGAGTTAATCCCAGCCTTTTGGGCCCTAGTCAGGGACACACCGTGAACTGATGGCCAGTCCATCACAGGGATAAGAAGCAAACCCATGTCACTCTTTTCCGTTAGATCAAGGTCTACTGCAGGACCTGACAGAGGGATACTGGAGAACACAAGCAGGAAGGATCCAAGGACCCGCTGGGCCTCCTGGTCCACCAGGCCCACCTGGGTACAGCCGTGTGATTGGTGCCTATGGGAATGTGACTGCAGACCTCATGGACTTTTTTAAAAGTCAGTGTCTACTTTTACTTTTACATAATTTGTCACGATTATATATTTAATTACCATATTTGGCTTGTATTATTATTTATTTTAGCCTAAACATTATCTTTTTAGCATATGGGACCATCCCAGGGCCTCCTGGCAGGCCAGGACACAAAGGGGACAGAGGATATCCAGGATCTAAAGGAGAAAAAGGTATCAGTCATCATTGATTTAGCTATTCTGGACAAAATCAAACAGGAAATCAGCTAATTGCTGCCTGATTAAGCATGAAAGTGAAGCAGTGGTGGAGGAATTACTGAATCTCAGTACTTAAGTAAAAGTACAAATAACCAGATAAATATTTACTTTAGTAAAAGTAGAAGTAACACAATGACAACCATACTTAAGTAAAAAGTACCTGATTTTAAATGTACTTTAAGTATTAAAAGTAAAAGTACTTGCATAATTTATTTTCTTAATGTCTATTTTCTAATGATTAATAAAACATTTAATTGTAACTCATTCAACCTAATACTCCTATAATGATCTTCAATAATTATGGAAAAAAAATGTTGTCACCAATTCTGAAACAAGCTTGCAATTAGGCAATATACACATTGCGCTTATCCTTACTATATGTTAATAACTATGGCAGTAAACACGATTAACTTATGGTGTAATTATGAACCTCTTGGCTTGCCATAATCCTAACCAAACGTATATTACACACGGTGCGTTTCCTATGCATGTAAAAACTAATTTTCGCGTATAAACTGCTCTATGAACGCACTGCGTGCGAGACGCATTTAGTGTGATCGGGTTGATATAGAGCCTCCATTTTTGCACTCAGGTCTAAGTCCCATGGCCCTCTATCAGAATCCAGAGTTTCAAGAAGATCAGAGAAACTCAAAATTTCGACCCCAAAAAACAAAACAAAAAACGACAACGTTACCCCTGTCGTTTTTTTTGTGTGAAAAAAATAAGTTTCTCCAATCTTCTTGAAACTCTGGATTATGATAGAGGGCCCTGAGAATTAGACCTGAGTGCAAAAATGGAGGCTCTAGAAATACAAATAATTCTTAAAAAAAAGATATCGAAACTCAAAATTTCGACCCGAAAAAAAAAACTAAAGGGGTACCACTGTCGTTTTTTTTTTTCGGGTCAAAATTTTGAGTTTCTCTGATCCTCTTGAAACTCTGGATTCTGATAGAGGGCCATGAGACTTAGACCTGAGTGCAAAAATGGAGACTCTAGACACTTCCAGAGCTGAGATATTGAGATATTTATAATGCCATAAATGCTACGTGGGATCTCAATATCTCAGCTCTGAAAGTGTCTAGAGCCTCAATTTTTGCACTCAGGTCTAAGTCTCATGGCCCTCTATCAGAATCCAGAGTTTCAAGAAGATCAGAGAAATTCAAAATTTTGACCAAAAAAAAAAAAAAAACGACAGTGGTACCCCTTTCTTTTCTTTTTTCCCCGGGGCGAGAAATTAAGTTTCTCCAATCTTCTCAAAATTCTGGATTCTGATAAAGGGCCATGAGACGTAGACTTGAGTGCAAAAATGGAGGATCTAGACCCTTCCAGAGGTGAGATATTGAGATCCCGCGTAGCATTTATGCCATTATACATATCTCAATATCTCAGCTCTGGAAGTCTCAGGTCTAAGTCCCATGGCCCTCTATCAGAATCCAGAGTTTCAAGATCAGAGAAATTCACAATTTCGACCCCAAAAAAAAAAAAAAAAAAAAAAAAACGACAGTGTTACCCCTGTCGTTTTTTTTTTTTTGTGTGAAAAAACAAGTTTCTCCAATCTTCTTGAAACTCTGGATTCTGATAGAGGGCCATGGGACTTAGACCTGAGACTTCCAGAGCTGAGATATTGAGATATGTATAATGGCATAAATGCTACGCGGGATCTCAATATCTCACCTCTGGAAGGGTCTAGATCCTCCATTTTTGCACTCAAGTCTACGTCTCATGGCCCTTTATCAGAATCCAGAATTTTGAGAAGATTGGAGAAACTTAATTTCTCGCCCCGAAAAACAAAACAAAAGGGGTACCACTGTCGTTTTTTTTTTTTTGTCGAAATTTTGAGTTTCTCTGATCTTCTTGAAACTCTGGATTCTGATAGAGGGCCATGAGACTTAGACCTGAGTGCAAAAATTGAGGCTCTAGACACTTTCAGAGCTGAGATATTGAGATCCCACGTAGCATTTATGGCATTATAAATATCTCAATATCTCAGCTCTGGAAGTGTCTAGAGTCTCCATTTTTGCACTCAGGTCTAAGTCTCATGGCCCTCTATCAGAATCCAGAGTTTCAAGAAGATCAGAGAAATTCAAAATTTTGACCAAAAAAAAAAAAAAACGACAGTGGTACCCCTTTCTTTTCTTTTTTCCCCGGGGCGAGAAATTAAGTTTCTCCAATCTTCTCAAAATTCTGGATTCTGATAAAGGGCCATGAGACTTAGACTTGAGTGCAAAAATGAAGGCTCTAGACCCTTCCAGAGCCGAGATATTGAGATAACACGTAGCATTTATGCCATTATAAATATCTCAATATCTCAGCTCTGGAAGGGTCTAGAGCCTCCATTTTTGCACTCAGGTCTACGTCTTTATATTTCCTGCTTTTTATTTTGGGGTGAAGTGTGACCAGGATCTGGTTTTGTTGAGATTCACACACTGACTGTGGTGTGTATGTGAATGTATGTGTGTGTGTGTGTGTGTGTGTGTGTTTGTGCGTGTGAACCTGCTGTCTGGTCTAGTACACAGTAGTGCAGTGCCAGATCAGTGCTGTGTGTAATAAGCCCAGCAGTGTTTATGTGGATGAGTGCGTGTTGGCGCTGATTGTGTCCTCTTCTCATCCATTCCTCCACTCCTCCAGCACCTGACTGCCAACACTCACTTCAGTCCCTAATATGAAGACATGTTGTGATGGATCCATGTCAATATCGGGATTCTGATAACACCTGGTTTGGCCTATACATCCTTTAACATATCTCAGCTCTGGAAGGGTCTAGAGCCTCCATTTTTGCACTCAGGTCGAAGTCTCATGTCCCTCTATCAGAATCCAGAGTTTCAAGAAGATCAGAGAAACTCAAAATTTCGACCCCCCCCCCCCCCCCCCCCCCCAAAAAAAAAAAAAAAAAAACGACAGTGTTACCCCTGTTGTTGTTTTTTTGTGTCCGAAAAAATAAGTTCCTCCAATCTTCTTGAAACTCTGGATTCTGATAGAGGGCCATGGGACCTAGACCTGAGTACAAAAATGTAGGCTCTAGATCCTTCCAGAGCTGAGATATTTATAATGGCATAAATGCTACGTGGTAGGCATAAATGCTACTCTGGAAGGGTTTAGAGCCTCCATTTTTGTACTCGGGTCTAAGTCCCATGGCCCTCTATCAGAATCCAGAGTTTCAAGAAGATCAGAGAAACTCAAAATTTCGACCCCAAAAAACAAAACAAAAAACGACAACGTTACCCCTGTCGTTTTTTTTGTGTGAAAAAAATAAGTTTCTCCAATCTTCTTGAAACTCTGGATTATGATAGAGGGCCCTGAGAATTAGACCTGAGTGCAAAAATGGAGGCTCTAGAAATACAAATAATTCTTAAAAAAAAGATATCGAAACTCAAAATTTCGACCCGAAAAAAAAAACTAAAGGGGTACCACTGTCGTTTTTTTTTTTCGGGTCAAAATTTTGAGTTTCTCTGATCCTCTTGAAACTCTGGATTCTGATAGAGGGCCATGAGACTTAGACCTGAGTGCAAAAATGGAGGCTCTAGACCCTTCCAGAGCTGAGATATCGAAACTCAAAATTTCGACCCGAAAAAAAAAACGATAGGGGTACCACTGTCGGTTTTTTTTCGGGTAGAAATTTTGACTTTCTCTGATCTTCTCAAAACTCTGGATTATGATAGAGGGCCATGAGACTTTGACCTGAGTGCAAAAATGGAGGCTCTAGACCCTTCTAGAGCTGAGATATCGAAATTCAAAATTTCGACCCGAAAAAAAAAACGACAGTGTTACCCCTTTCGTTTTTTTTTCGTTTTTGGCCGAAAAATTAAGTTTCTCAAATCTTCTCAAAACTCTGGATTCTGATAGAGGGCCATGAGACTTTCACCTGAGACCAAAAATGGAGGCTCTAGACCCTTCCAGAGCTGAGATATCGAAATTCAAAATTTCGACCCGAAAAAAAAACGACAGTGTTACCCCTTTCGTTTTTTTCGTTTTCGGGCGAAAAATTAAGTTTCTCCAATCTTCTCAAAACTCTGGATTATGATAGAGGGCTGTGAGACTTTGACCTGAGTGCAAAAATGGAGGCTCTAGACCCTTCCAGAGCTGAGATATCGAAATTCAAAATTTTGACCCGAAAAAAAACGACAGTGTTACCCCTTTCGTTTTTTTTTTCGTTTTCGGGCGAAAAATTAAGTTTCTCCAATCTTCTCAAAACTCTGGATTATGATAGAGGGCTGTGAGACTTTGACCTGAGTGCAAAAATGGAGGCTCTAGACCCTTCCAGAGCTGAGATATCGAAATTCAAAATTTCGACCCGAAAAAAAAACGACAGTGTTACCCCTTTCGTTTTTTTTTGTTTTGGGCGAAAAATTAAGTTTCTCCAATCTTCTCAAAACTCTGGATTATGATAGAGGGCTGTGAGACTTTGACCTGAGTGCAAAAATGGAGGCTCTAGACCCTTCCAGAGCTGAGATATCGAAATTCAAAATTTCGACCCGAAAAAAAAAACGACAGTGTTACCCCTTTCGTTTTTTTTTTTTTGGGCGAAAAATTAAGTTTCTCCAATCTTCTCAAAACTCTGGATTATGATAGAGGGCTGTGAGACTTTGACCTGAGTGCAAAAATGGAGGCTCTAGACCCTTCCAGAGCTGAGATATCGAAATTCAAAATTTCGACCCGAAAAAAAAAACGACAGTGTTACCCCTTTCGTTTTTTTTCGTTTTGGGCGAAAAATTAAGTTTCTCCAATCTTCTCAAAACTCTGGATTATGATAGAGGGCTGTGAGACTTTGA